GGTCTCCTGCTTTCACCCCAGGGCTGGGCCACTCTGAGCCGAGAAGCTGGGACTAGGTCCCCATCACTGTGACCTCACTGCCTGCTCGGTCACACCTGAGCGGGCTCTCCCCGAGGACCGAGCTCTGGCCCTGGTCGGGCAGGCTCCCACACCGCACCCCGCTCTTCACCACCCTCAGCAGTGACATCCCTCCTGGAGAGTGGGCTCCCCGCAAACTGCTTCACAGTCTCCCTGGCGACCGTGGGAGGGGAGGGGGGAGGGGCGGGTGGTCAGTCCCGGCAGGGAACAATGAGTGGGACCCCCACTGTCAGGGAAGGTGAGAGAATGGAGGGTCACAGAGGCAGAGTGCAAAGCCTCGCACCCCACTTAGCATAGTGGCCAGTTACCCACAGCGTCCCTGAGCCTCAATATCCCCAACACAAAGGACGAAAATCACCATTGGCACAGAGTACCCAGGAGACCCTCCTCTCCGCTTGGTCCCTGGGGTCACAGGTGAGGCATCAGGTCCTTCCAGCAGGGCCTCGCGCTAATGACAAAGGGCTGTGTCCAAGGGCTTGGAGGCCCACAGAGCCCACAACAAAGAAACTGGAAAATAAAGAGATGTCACCCTGGCTGGTTTGGCTCAGCAGTTAGTGTCGGGCCGTGGACCAATGAGTCGTGGGTTTGATTTCGGTCAAGGGCACGTACCTCGGGTGCCCTGGCAGGGTCATGCGGGAGGCAGCCAGTTGGTGTGTCTCTCTCACATCGATGCTTCTCTCTCTCTTTCTCCCTCCCACCATATCTGAACAGAAATGTAAAAAATATCCTTGGGTGAGGATTAAAAAAGATGATGTCACTGCAAGGCGACTTAGAACAGCGCTAGAGCAGCATCTCCCACTCTGGTCCTCACCTCAAGACCTGCTGATGACAAACCCCCTCCAAACTGACTCAGCAGAGTGGGATCTACGCGTGGGGACTGACACAGGCACATGCCCCCCTGGCAGCTGCTACAGCTCCTGGTGAGAGCGGGCACACGCACGCCTGGTGAGAGCGGGCACACACTCCTGGTGAGAGCAGGCACACACTCCTGGTGAGAGCGGGCACACACTCCTGGTGAGAGCGGGCACACACTCCTGGTGAGAGCAGGCACACACTCCTGGTGAGAGCAGGCACACACTCCTGGTGAGAGCGGGTACACACATGCCTGGTGAGAGCGGGCACACACGCCTGGTGAGAGCGGGCACACACGCCTGGTGAGAGCAGGCACACACTCCTGGTGAGAGCCGGGCACACACACTCCTGGTGAGAGCGGGCACACACGCCTGGTGAGAGCCGGGCACACGCACTCCTGGTGAGAGCGGGCACACACGCCTGGTGAGAGCCGGGCACACACACTCCTGGTGAGAGCCGGGCACACACACTCCTGGTGAGAGCCGGGCACACACACACCTGGTGAGAGCGGGCACACACTCCAGGTGAGAGCCGGGCACACGCACTCCTGGTGAGAGCGGGCACACACTCCTGGTGAGAGCCGGGCACACACACTCCTGGTGAGAGCCGGGCACACACACTCCTGGTGAGAGCCGGGCACACACTCCTGGTGAGAGCCGGGCACACACACTCCTGGTGAGAGCCGGGCACACACACTCCTGGTGAGAGCGGGCACACACGCCTGGTGAGAGCGGGCACACACGCCTGGTGAGAGCGGGCACACACGCCTGGTGAGAGCCGGGCACACACGCCTGGTGAGAGCCGGGCACACACACGCCTGGTGAGAGCCGGGCACACACACTCCTGGTGAGAGCCGGGCACACACTCCTGGTGAGAGCCGGGCACACGCACTCCTGGTGAGAGCCGGGCACACGCACTCCTGGTGAGAGCGGGCACACACTCCTGGTGAGAGCCGGGCACACACACTCCTGGTGAGAGCGGGCACACACGCCTGGTGAGAGCGGGCACACACGCCTGGTGAGAGCGGGCACACACGCCTGGTGAGAGCCGGGCACACACACGCCTGGTGAGAGCCGGGCACACACACGCCTGGTGAGAGCCGGGCACACACACTCCTGGTGAGAGCCGGGCACACACACTCCTGGTGAGAGCCGGGCGCACACTCCTGGTGAGAGCCGGGCGCGCACTCCTGGTGAGAGCCGGGCTCGCACTCCTGGTGAGAGCCGGGCACACACACTCCTGGTGAGAGCGGGCACACGCACTCCTGGTGAGAGCCGGGCACGCACTCCTGGTGAGAGCCGGGCACACGCACTCCTGGTGAGAGCCGGGCACACACTCCTGGTGAGAGCCGGGCTCACACTCCTGGTGAGAGCCGGGCACACGCACTCCTGGTGAGAGCCGGGCACACACACGCCTGGTGAGAGCCGGGCACACACACGCCTGGTGAGAGCGGACACACACGCCTGGTGAGAGCGGACACACACTCCTGGTGAGAGCCGGGCACACACACGCCTGGTGAGAGCCAGGCATACACTCCTGGTGAGAGCTGGACGCACACACTCCGAGAAGCCCAGCTCTATCAGAACTGGCACCTTCTCCTCTTATTGGCTAGTCCCACAGCCCCAAGCACATGCCGTGCCCAGGAGGACAAGATGCTCTCGCAGCTCAGCTTCTGATGGCAGAAATGCACATGCTGTCCATGGAGGCAGGAGGCGGTGAAGTTGATTCTTGTGCACCCTTACCTGGGGGTCTTCTGCACCCACAAAATCAGCCCAGGAGAGCCAGGGCTGAGCCCCCCCCCAGTCAGTCACTCCCTCTACAAATCCTAATGAGTGCCCAGCGGGGACAGGGCCGCTCTGTCCCTCTCTCACAGCTCAGAGAGGCAGGGGGAAGTCTATGGACCTGGCGGCCCCCAGGTTTTGGGACAAATCATGCTGCCAACCAGAAGGTAATTCAGGCAAATTTATGGGTAGATCGTCAGATAAAACACAGGACACCTTAACGTTAAATCTGAACTTTAAACAGTGAATATTTTTATGTAAGCATATCCTCTGCAATATTTGGGTCATGCTTATATTGTAAAATCATTCATCATTTATCTGAAATTCAAAGGTACCTGATGTTGAATCTAGCAACTTCAAAAAGAAGCCAACACCCCCACCAGTCAGGAGTGACCAGCGGCTGAGACCGGCCTCCCATGGCTCCCCACCTCGCCTGGGCCCGCTCAGCCCTGCAGGTGTGGTGGGGGCAGTAATAGTACAGTAATAATATTGAGACAGGGTGCTATGAGAGTCAGTGGAGCTGACCACAGGGCTGCACTCCCCAGACGGGACAAACGTCCCGGGGGGCATCACAGCATCCCTCACGTGCCCTCTGAGGAACTGGACTTCCTTTTCAAGATGCTTGGCCATGTCCTGGGGGGCCGGGTTGCAGGGGAACAAGCTTTCCTTTGGTTCCAGCCTGCAGGTCTCCAGGAGCTCTGGTTTGGGTCCAAACAGTGGGTGGAAGGCGCCCCCTGGAGGTAGGATGTGTGGGCTGCAGGCCCCAGCTGGCGGTACTTGGTAGGTCTCCAGGCACCCGGGAGAGGAGGCTCTCCACCGGAAAAAGTCAAGGATGGGGTGCGAGTGAGCAGAGTGAACGGGGTCAGGGAGTAGGGACCCCAGGCGCCCCTCTGTGGTGCACTGACTGAGTGAGGCGCCGGTGAGAAGCGGCGGTGCTCCATTCCGGCCTTCGGCCACCACGCGTCAAGTCCCGCTCTGGGTCAGGCACAGGAGACCCGCCAAGCCGGACCAGAAGGCCCAGCCACCTCGGGGCTCACATGACAGCTGGTGGCCCTGGGCCACCCCGCCCCGGAATTGTGGGGACTGGCATCACCAGCAGTCCCCCCCAGATGGGAAGCCGAGATTCCGGTTCCAGCCAGTTGACCCCGCTTTGAGGTCACCTGGCTGTCTCGGCGGGCGAGGCCGACCAGGGCCTGCATCGGCCAAGGGGCAGCGCTCCGCAGTGCGGCTCCAGCTGTTTCCTACGAACTGTGCCCGGTCCCCGAGCGAGCAGACGGCCGGCAGGGCGCCCCAACAATACCCTGGGAATGCGCCCTTGTTGGTGCCGTCGCACGGAGGAGGAAACCGAGGCCCAAAGAGCTCAGCGCCTCGCCCGACTCACAGCCCGCAGGCAGCACCAGGACCCAAGCCGAGAGCACACCGGTGAGAAGCCGAGAGCGCACTGCCCGGGAGTCCCGAGCGGGGCCCCGCGAGCCGCGTGGCCAGGCGGCAAGGGGGCGGGGCGGGGCGGGGCGGGGCGAGGCCCTGGAGGCCTTGATTGGCGCTGCTTTGAGCTCGTCACTGGGCGGCCTCCTAGCCGTTGGCCCCGCCTTGGCCCCGCCCCTGGGCCCGCCCCGGGCTGGGAGCCGACCGGCAGTTAACCCTCCGCCTGGCCCCACCCGCTCTGTCCCGGCCACGCCCCGCTGCGGGCCAGCAGTGAGCACGCGCCCGCGCCGCGCCCGGACCCCGCCCAGGCCCCGCCCCGCCGCAGCCCGCTGCACCCCCCAGGCGCCCACCTGCCGGTCGCTCCCGAGGCCCGCGGTCCCGGCGGCTGGGCCCGGATCCCTCCCCGGCGCGCAGAAGCCGCTTCGTGCAGCTGAGCGGCCAGAGGTCAGCCAGAGGCAATAGAAGCCCTTTGGAGCCCACCCTCGCAGAATGGACTGTGGCCTGTTGCGCCGCTTTATTGAGGCGCAACTTGCAATTCCACCAGTTCCACTCTACGGAGTTGACCCAGGGTTGGGCAGCGATGGCCACAACCTCATTGAGGGCGGCCGCATCCCTCCCCCAAATGCGCTCCATTTCCGGAGATCCGCGGGGTCTGACCGCGCTGCGCTGCAGCGCCGCACCGACAGGGGGCGCTGCGGGCGGGCGGGCGCGCGCGCGCCGGGACCGACCCTCAGCTGCGCCTGCGCCGGCGTCGCGCGCGAGCCCGAGCGCGAGTCCGCCGAGCACGCACCCCGGCGAGTGCGCCTGCGCGGAGCCCGTGGGCCCGCCGCTCCCGCCGGGGGCTCGTCGCTGAGCGGCCGGGCCATGGGGGAGGCCGAGGTGGGCGGTGGGGGAGCGGCGGGCGACAAGGGGCCGGGAGAGGCGGCCACCAGCCCGGCCGAGGAGACGGTGGTGTGGAGCCCCGAGGTGGAGGTGTGCCTCTTCCACGCCATGCTGGGCCACAAGCCCGTCGGTGAGCGGGGCGCCGCGGACCTGCGTGGGGGCGGGGCGAGCCGGCAACGGCCGGGGGCGCGCGGCGGGGCGGGGCCTTCCGCACCCCACCCCCGACCCTGCCCCTCGCTCACCCCACCCCCGGACCCTGCCCCTCCCGCACCCCACCCCCGGACCCTGCCCCTCCCGCACCCCACGCCTGCACCTGCCCCTCTGTGCAACCCCACCCCCGGACCCGGCCCCTCGCTCACACCCCACCCCCGGACCCTGCCCCTCGCTTCACACCCACCCCGGACACCTGCCCCTCCCACCTCAACCCCGGACCCTGCCCTCTCTCGACCCCCGGACCTCGGACCCTGCCCCTCGCTCACCCCACCCCCGGACCCTGCCCCTCGCTCACCCCACCCCCGGACCCTGCCCCTCCCGCACCCCACCCCCGGACCCTGCCCCTCGCTCACCCCACCCCCGGACCCTGCCCCTCGCTCACCCCACCCCTGCACCTGCCCCTCCTGCACCCCACCCCCGGACCCTGCCTCTCGCTCACCCCACCCCCGGACCCTGCCTCTCCCGCACCCCACCCCCGGACCCTGCCCCTCCTGCACCCCACCCCTGCACCTGCCCCTCGCTCACCCCACCCCCGGACCCTGCCCCTCCCGCATCCCACCCCCGGACCCTGCCCCTCCCGCACCCCACCCCCGGACCCTGCCCCTCCCGCATCCCACCCCTGGACCCTGCCCCTTCCTCACCCCACCCCTGGACCCTGCCTCTCCTGCACCCCGCACCTGCACCTGCCACTTCCGCACCCCCGGTGTCCCCGTCTTGCCCCTAATTTCTGCCCCACACCCCGCCCCTTCCACCACAGGTGTGAACCGCCACTTCCACATGATCTGCATCAGGGACAAGTTCAGCCAGAACATTGGGAGGCAGGTGCCGTCCAAGGTCATCTGGGACCACCTAAGCACCATGTACGACATGCAGGCGCTGGTGAGCTGGACCCCTTCCCCCCAGTTCTCAAGGCCAGAGCCCCTCTCCCCCGACCAGCGGGCAGCAGTGTCCTCTCCACGCCACCCGGCTGTGCTCGGAGAGCCTGCCTCCTCGGGGGGACCCTGCAGTAATCAGGGTAGCTCCCAGTGGGTTTGCAGAAAGCGCAGACCAGCAATGGTAGCTGGTCACCTGTGCAGATGGGTGACCAGCGAAGGTTTCCATAGGGAGATAATGGGGAGCCCGGGCTGAGGAGCCAGCCTTCTCATCATCGGAGGTCCCGCGGGTGCTGCAGGCAGCAAGGGGACAGACTCGGGTCAGGTTCAGGTGAACAGGATGGGTTCTATAAGGGCCACGCAGGCAGGGTTTCAGGCCTCCTGGGACTCCCAGCTGCTTGGGTTTCCTAGGGAACCAGGAGGGCCAGAGGGACAGGAGGACATGCATCTGGGGTTGAGGTGGGAGCCTTTGTGGGGTCAGAGAAGACTCAGCCGCCTGGCCTTCTACCCAGACCCCGTCCTTGGGCAAGTCTGTCGGGTGCTCTTGTGGTGGGCAGACGGGGTATAGGTGACAGCTGTGCCCTGGGGCTGGCTGCTCAGGGCGCAGCTCCTTGGAGGACAAGCTGCTGCCCTCAAGGGGTCCTCCCAGGGCAGCCTTACGCAGGGCCATGGCCAGCCTGCTCTCGGGCACATCCTTGTTCCCTGGGTCAGCAGAGCCCCTACACCTGTACCGTGTGGCGTCACCTGGTTCCCAGGCACTTCCCTCATCCTGACTTCAGGCTGGTGGGGGCCGGAAGTGGAACACGGAGATGGGTACAGCAGGGTCCCTGTTGTGGGGGAGCCCCTGGTGCCCTCGGGGAGATAGGCAGGCAGCTCTGAGGCACAGACTTTCACTCGAGGACCCCCATGACACTCCCCAGGAGGCTGCAGGTACCCCTGGGGTTCAGCACAGGATAGCTGTCCTCTCCCTGTCAGGGCCTGTCACTCACGCCTGGGTCGGACCTTGGGGTGTCACTGCTCTGGGGCCTGTTAGCACGAGTTCCTGAACCCCACCCACAGGGTGCTCAGGCTGCTGCCGCTTCCGCCCGGAGGGTATGTGCCGGCGGAGAGGCGGCCCCAGTGTGTCTCCAGCGACACCCACTCAGCATTCTTCCCCATCGTGACTCCTGCCAACCGCCCCTGTAGCTGTGCCCTCCCTGGGTCTGTCATCTGGAAGCGGGAACGAGCCAGCGTCACCCCTCTGTGCCCCTCGGCAGCCCCAGGATGGCACTGCCTCCTCGCCAGGTGCCCCTGAATTGCTGTGACACGTCTCTAGTCACTTGCTAAAATCACATTTTTGTTTCTTAAAAAAATGTAATTCCCTGTCTGCCATCAGCATGAGTCTGAGATCCTTCCGTTCCCAAATCCAGAGAGGAACTTCGTCCTTCCGGAAGAAATCATTCAAGAAGTCCGGGAAGGTGAGACTGGAGCGGGGGCAGGTCTGGGAACAGGAGAGCCTGCAGGGCGAGAGTGGTGGTGACGTGGAGGTCGTGAGCCTCGGAGGAGTGAGGTCTCTGGCCTGCGACGTTCGGCCCACCTGGATGGGGAGGACGTGTTCACATAATCGGCTTCTTTAAGTGGCAAAGTCCACGTGGGCCACCCACGTCGGGCGCCGTCCTGGCCTGAGCCACTCCCAGGTTGGGCCGGGTGTAGTCGCTCAGCAGCGTGGGCTTTGAGTAAATGTCAGCTGTTCCCCACACAGGAAAAGTGATCATCGAAGAGGAAATGAAAGAGGAGATGAAGGAAGACATGGACCCCCACAATGGGGCCGATGATGGTAAGTGCGGAGCTCACCCCATCCCTGCACTGGGGTCCGGGGACATGGCGCCCACCCAGCAGGGCCTTCTCGCAGGGCGCAGCGCAGGTCCTGGGGACACAATGCCCATGTGGCAGGGCCTTCTCGCAGGGCGCAGTGCAGGTCCTGGGGACACAATGCCCACGTGGCAGGGCCTTCTCGCAGGGCACAGCGCAGGCCCCGGGGACACAATGCCCACCTGGCAGGGCCTTCTCGCAGGGCACAGTGCAGGCCCTGGGGACACAATGCCCACCCAGCAGGGCCTTCTCGCAGGGCGCAGCGCAGGTCCTGGGGACACAATGCCCACGTGGCAGGGCCTTCTCGCAGGGCACAGTGCAGGCCCTGGGGACACAATGCCCACGTGGCAGGGCCTTCTCGCAGGGCGCAGCGCAGGCCCCGGGGACACAATGCCCACCTGGCAGGGCCTTCTCGCAGGGCGCAGCGCAGGTCCTGGGGACACAATGCCCACGTGGCAGGGCCTTCTCGCAGGGCGCAGTGCAGGTCCTGGGGACACAATGCCCACCTGGCAGGGCCTTCTCGCAGGGCGCAGCGCAGGTCCTGGGGACACAATGCCCACGTGGCAGGGCCTTCTCGCAGGGCGCAGCGCAGGTCCTGGGGACACAATGCCCACCTGGCAGGGCCTTCTCGCAGGGCACAGCGCAGGCCCCGGGGACACAATGCCCACCTGGCAGGGCCTTCTCACAGGGCGCAGCACAGGTCCCGGGGACACAATGCCCACCTGGCAGGGCCTTCTCGCAGGGCGCAGCGCAGGCCCTGGGGACACAATGCCCACCTGGCAGGGCCTTCTCGCAGGGCGCAGCGCAGGCCCCGGCCTGTACTTCTAGCCCATTGCAGCCACAGCTGCTCTGTCTGGTCCAGCAGCTGAGAGGCAGCTTCCATCTGCTCGGGCAGGAGCCTCGCCGGGCATGGACATCGTGCGGGTGGCTGACACCATGAACGAAGCCCAGGGCGGCCCCGGGCACCGTCGGGCCCCGTCAGGTGGACCCAGTGTGCAGTCCCGGAGGGCTCAGTGCAGGACAAACCCTGAGTAACAGAGCCGGCTCCACCCTGCGGCACAGGCGTGAGTGGCGGCTGGGGCGGGTCCTGCAGCCTGAGCCTGTGGTGCCCGAGGCCCTCACAGTGGGCACGTCCTCAGGAGGACCAGGTGCTCTGTGGGCTGGGCGGGCCCCCAGCTCAGGAGAGACTCTTGGGTTCAGAGCGTCACACGTGTAGATAATAGAATTTTTAACTGAACAAGAAGGTGAAATAAAATTCGGGATATTCTGTTTTCAGCCAAATGATTTTGTCTCCCAGTTTTTTCATCTTCAGGAAGCTTGGGGAAAGCAACCGAAAAGTCCAGCAAAGACAGAGACAAGAACTCCTCAGACTTGGGGGCCAAGGAAGGGGCGGACAAGCGCAAGCGCAGCCGAGTCACCGACAAAGTCCTGACCGCCAACAGCAACCCCTCCAGCCCCAGTGCCGCCAAGCGGCGCCGAACGTAGGCGTCCCTCGGAGAGGGTGGGTGGCCCTGTCACCAGGCCGCTGGGGGCCTGCCTGCCTGCCCTGGGAGTGGGGGGCTCTGCCGCACCCACTCACCACCTGGGGCTCGATGGATCAGAGAGACCAGGATCGCCGCTCAGGCTGAGCGTGCTGCTGATCACATCAGGGACGCCCTGCGTGACAGACGGAGGAGGACGCCCGTTGTCCCCACCCTCCCAGGAGCACCAGTCCCCACTGGTCCATCTGTCCGCTGCTCTGGCTCAAGTGACTGTGACCTCAGGAGACAGGCCACCGAGCCGCGTGGTGGCCCCTCTGTCCGCACCCGAGACCAGAGTGGGTGTGGCCTCGTTCACGTGTACTGTAACGGTGTATATAGTGTGGTTGATATTTCACTTATTTAATTTCTGAGAAGCCTATTTTACTAGTGTTTTATACGAGAAAAATACTACAGAAGTTAAAAACCCATGTTGTATTTTTTCTGAGATGTTTTGTTTTAAGGTAACGGCCACTGAGATCATTTTTTGCTCAGTTTTTATATGCCAGACACAGTTTGTAGTTATTTTTGTATGACCGAGTGACTTGCAGGCAGACCAAAGGGGCGAGTGGAGGGAAGGCCCACGGGGCTGGTGGCGGCCCGGACTGGGCGACATTAAAGCGCAGAAAAGCAACCTGGGATTGTGTCGTTTCCAAAATAAGTTACTTTGGCTATGATAGGAAGTTTTATTTTTCTGAGATAACTAGAGCGTTCAGTTAGACATGCCTCGCTTGATACAATGTAGGTACAAACTCGTAACAGGTGCAGAGTGGGGACTTGGGAGCGAGCCAGGCCCTGGGACATGCTGGGAGAGCCGACGAGGCAGAGCTGGACCTCCTGCTGGACGTCCGCCTGCGACTGGGACTGCGCTGTGCACAGCAGAGTCCGCAGGTGGGGAGGCGGCAGGCCCTCGGCCAGCCACCGCGCCGACCTCCTCACACACAAGGACACCGGGTTCTTGTCCATCTGGGAGCCCCCAGGCACGGCCAGGACTCCGTGCTGGGGGCCACCCAGCGTGAGGTCGGAGGCTGGCCTGCACCAAACCAGTCACGTTGGGGCCTTGACGTTGCTGGCACCCCACTTCCCCAGCAGGCCCACGGTGCTCGGCGCAGCATCTGTGCTGGGGTCTGCTGACCCTGAGCAGCGGGCCTCAGCGTCCACCCTGCGCTGAAGCTGCAGCAGAAGCTCGTAGCCCTGTGTGGGCCCCGGGGTGTGCAGCCAGAGCACCCTGCCACGCGGGGCAGGAACCTGGACAGAGCCCAGGGTGGAGTTGGAGGCTGCCCCTCCCCGAACACCCCTGCCACTGGCCTTTCTCCCGTGATGAAGTCCCACGAGACCTGCATGGTGCACACTCTCCATCTGCCCAGACACAGCCTCGGTCACCTCCTTGCAACAGAACAGGAAACCACACAAGGGAAGAGCAGAGTTCTGCCTCAGGTTCTCGAACCGACGAGGGAGCACATGCCCCTCCCACTGCCAGTGTCCACCCCTCCCTCGGTGCCCACCCTGCCGGGCCCTGGAGCTGCGATGCCCGAGAGAGAGCTGGCTCTGGGAGAGTCACCAGCAGGCAGATGGCCCTGGGCTGGGACCCAGAGCGGGAGGGGCTCCCTTGACCAGGCTCACTGGGGAGCTCCCATCTGAAACAGCGTCTGCAGGGGCCTCAGAAGGTGCTGGAAAAACCTGGTCAATAAATCAAACCTGCCTCCTTGTGATTAAGATTTGACTGCACTTTGAGGAGAAGGGGGCGGGGGGCCCACTCCTGGTGCCCTGTCGCCTTGGGGCAGCATTCCTCAGCACTGTCCGAGCATCCCTGCCTGGCCACACAGCCGCCGAGGCCTCCTGGCTCCTCAGCCCTCACCGGCTCCTGGGATCTCAGCTTCCCTGAGCAGTCCAGCCCCCTCCACTGCGTGTGGCCTGTGCAGGTCAGGTCCACAGGGATCTGTGGCATGTGATGTGTCCCAGCCTAGGGGTCCAATCTGTGACTTGGGTCTTGCGTACACCCACCATGTAACATCGAAACTATCTGAACCAGGAAACGGGGGGGTGGGGGGCGGGGGGGGCAGAGACGCGAAGGAAGGGCCTGAGCTGCAGGACCAAAGAAACGTCCTTGCTCAGCTCGGTGTGGACCTCGGACGAGAGACCTCTGCCGCGAGGGCAAGCACCTGTCCGGCAGGGCTGCCGGGACCCGGGGTGGCCTCAGCGCTCCCCGCTCTGGCCCGGCTCCATGGGGCATCAGGAGGGACAGTGGGCGCCCAAGAATTTTTGAACACATGCTGAGCTGACTCGGGGTGCAGCGGTCCCCCAACATGGCTGGTTGAGTAGAGATGGGCAGACTTGGGCCCAATAACATGACTGCAACTATTTTTGCCTGAGGGAAATGTCAGAACAGGGCTAACCTGATCCCGCCTCAGCCAGACTCATGCCGCCTGTAGGCAGGCTTCCCATGCCGGCCTGCGGGGCTGATGCTGGCCCTCCGCCCTCAGCCACCTTGTGCAGCCTGGGCAGCAAGCAGCCTGGAGTGCTGAGCCCACAGCGGGTGCCCCAAGCCCCAGCGTGTTCCTGCAGCAGAATCGGGTCCAGATTCCCCCCATCTGAGCTCTGTGCAAACTGCACACAAAAGCATCCGAAGGGGTGATTGGTGTGACCACTATCCCTAAAGCAGCGGTTGGATAGTGCCTGAGAACAAGTCAGCGAAGAGGTCTGCCCCCCGGCCCTGGCAGGAGGCAGCAATGGGCAGGCTGTTTGGCTGGTAGGCAGGGGTAGTGAAGCCAGGGTACCCTCCCACAGGGCTTGCAGAGGAGGGATGGAGCCTGCCAACCCAATAGCGCCCAGATCAACCAAACCATGAATGACCCACAGCCCCAGCACCCAATGCCTCCATCAGAGGCCCCCCATCTACCCGGGTACCACAGTCAGGGGCTCCAAAGCCAGCTGCACATGGACTAATGAGGCCAGGCCCTTGGCTGCAGTCCTCAGTGGGCCGGCCCCACTCCCCAGGAAATCTGCCCTGGCCATTGACGGCAGATGACTTGCAGAGATGCCCAGAGCTCCTAACCTTTGTGAGAGTCACCACTGTTCTTTTATTTATTATTTATTTAAATCCGCACCCAAGGGAGGGAAGGAGGGAGAGAGATTGAAACATGGATGTGAGAGAGACACATCGACTAGTGGCCTCCCGTAGGACCCTGACCAGGGCTGGGGACTGAACTGCAACTGCAGTACGGGCTCTTGACTGGAATCAAACCCGAAACTCTCTGGTCCTCGGGCAGATGTTCCCACTGCTGAGACACACCGGCCAGGGCACCCCACTGTTCTTTTAGAAAGGGAGGTGCATGCACAGGTTCCAGCCAGGGGGACTGGGTCAGCGAGCCCTCCGCTGTGCTCACAAGCAGGGTGGGAAGGCTCTGTCCCCAGCTGCACAGTTCCAGGGTGCCACCATCCCCAGCACAGGCAGCCTGAGGCCTGTCCGTTGGCTTGTGGGGCCAGGGAGAAGTTAGCGTCCCCTGCGGGGCTCGGCTGTGGCCACAGGCAGCTCTCCTCATGGCCAAATCTAAGGGCCAGACTTGGGTCTCAGCCTTTTTTTTTTTTTTGCAATTATAAAGTGGTATAATAGTTACAGATGTTTTTACCTGGGGTGGCCACTCCCGATTTTCATTTTGAGGGTGAGTCACCCACTTTGCTGGGGTTCTTGTGTCACCTGGCAAACGTCAGAGCCAGAGGTTGAGTAAGGGACCCACCATCAATGGGAAATTTGCAGCCCCCCTGAAATCTGCCACCTCCCGGCCAGCAGAGAGGTCCCCAGTCACTTCTGCCTCCTGGTGTTGGGGCCACAGTGACTCAACTTGCTGAAGACTCTCCTGCTGGTCCTGAAGGAGCAAACTGTCCGGTGTGAACACTTGTGGAAGGGCACAGGGTGTCTGTCCTCCTGCCCCACGGAGATGGGTTCTGCTCACAGTCCCAGGGCGCTTGGAGGCAGATGGCTCCCCGAAAAAGCCTCTGATGGGACGGCAGCCCCGCTGACACCAGGAGGGCACCTTGGGGGGATATTCATCGGTGGGGCCCGCTTCCAGGCGGCACCCTCCTGGGGGCATTCTAGGAGGGGCGAATTCCCCGGGGTGGGGGTGACCTGGAAGGAACTCCGGAGGTAGACACCCTCTGTGGACAACCTCGGGGGGCCATTCTTCAGAGGGGCGTCCTTCCTGCGCGAAATCCCCAGGCTGGCACCTTGGGGTGGGGGGAGTCTACGGGGTGGCTCTGGGCGAGGGAAGAGAAAGCCTCCGGTTGGGGAGTCTGGGGCAGGCGGCCTCCGGGGCACATCCTTCGGGGGCGGGCACCCGCGGGCGGGCGGGCGGGGTCAGCAGCCCCGGGACTCCGGGCGCCCCGCCCCGCCCCGCCCCCGCGCTTCCTCCCGGTTTCACTTTCGCTTCCGGCGGAGCGCAGGTCCCGGCGCCGCCCGAGCATGGACGATCCCGACTGCGACTCGACCTGGGAGGACGACGAGGAGGATGGCGAGGGCCCGAGCGCCGGGGGCGACGACGAGGGCGAGGCGGGCGCCCCGGGAGACGCGGAGGACGAGGACGAGGAGGAGGAGGAGGAGGCGCGGCCCAGCGCGCTGCAGGTGCAACCTCTGCCCCGGGCCCCGCGCCCCGCGCCCCGCGCCCCGCGCCCCGCGGCCCTGGGACGCCTGCCGGGCCGCCGCCCAATGCGGTCCAGGCCCTGCTCCGGGGCAAACCGTCCACTTCCCCCGGTCTGGGGGCGGAGGCGCCTCCTGGAGACCTGGCTTGCGGCCTGACACCCTCTCCAACTGCCCTGTTCCCCACCTTGGGCCTCCTGCTCCCCTTATAATCCGCTGGACACCCTGAGATCTGTTCCTGCTCGGCCCCCCAGGCCGGCCCAGCCAGGGGACCTTGCATGGAGATCCAGGGCCACCCCAAGACCGGTGCCCCAGGACTGAGTCTGCATGGTGGTGACATTTCCTCAAAGTGATGCCCCTGGCACATCCTTGGCTTCCCTCCCCTCTGTCACATCCACCTCCAGGCCTGAGGCCTCGTCCTGGGTCCCAGCCCTCCGTGCTGGCCACCTCCCCTGGCCCCTCAGCCGCTCAGCGTCCTGGTGCCCCCTAGGGAGCACCTGCCCTGTTGCCCACCACACAACACTCCCTGGTGCCCAGGCCACTAGCTCGACCCCCCCTACTGACCCACTCCCACTGTTCCTCACTGGGTGTAGCACCCACTCTCTTGGACTGGGGTTGGCCTTCCACCCTTTGGAGGGGTCCTTGGAGGCTGCATTTACATGACTTGTCCCAGCCAGGGCCACTGGCTGTGCCCAATGGTTACTTCTGGTTGTTGCTTACTCCTTAGCACTGGTTACTTTTGTTGCCACCAGTTACTTTTCTTGCCACTGGTTGCTTGTTAGAAGGGGTTACTTGCTAGCACTCACTGGGGTGTGAGTGCCATTGTTCCAGCCAGCTGGGGTCCCAGGGGTTACGGAAGGATGGCAGCCATCACCCTGTGTCCCGGCAGCTTTTGGATGGAGGTGTCTTGACAGCGTGTCTAGAGAATCTTGAACCCATCCATGTGGTCTCAGGGATGGATTCTCCCGGGAGCGAATGAGAGCATTGGTTTGCAGATTGATCTGTCAGTGTTTTGAAGTGGTCAGTGAGGGGACGCCAAGAGGATCCTGGGCCTGTCTGCAAGGCCAGCGGCCTCAGCACATCCAGGGTTTTGGGCAGGGACGAGTTTCTGGGGAGGCCGGCTGAGCAGTGGTCAGGGTCACAGGCCTGGAGTCACAGGGCAGGTATCTGGTCTGTCCCCAGCAGGTGAGGTGAGGACACTGTCCTCCCACAGTTCCATGGGCCATGCTCTTGCAGGCACACTCTGGTGCCCTGTGAGCTGCCCACGATCCTCTGACCTCTTCCCCGGATGACTTCCAGGGTGCTCACCGCTGGCCCAGGGGCTGGAGAAACGGAAACCGATGGAGAAGTGGAACCCGCCCCTGCTGAGTGTCGGTTTTGGGCCCTGGCCCTGGGCCTCTGGAGAGGCCCTCACCAGCGGGGTCAGAAATCAGGCAGAGGGACAGCTGCAGACCCTGGCTGGAGGGAGCTCAGACCATTAGGGGCCGAGGGGGTTGGGAATGGGGTGGAGCCAGGGGCCACAGTGGTGGGCCTGGTCTCCTGAACCCCCCACCCCAGCATTCCTTCACTCCTCCCAGGTCCTGGGACCCAGGGGTGTCCCCAGGATGAGTGTCCCTTCCTGTCATCCAGGAGCTGTTTCTGCCCTGGCCCCTCATTCTCTCCCAGCCTCAGTCTGATGCTGGGCTCGGCCCTGCCCTGTGCCCCCTCCCCTGGAACAAGGTGGGTTGGGCTGCATTTACCTAGCATCCTGCTCACCAGTTACCTCCCGTCCTTCCCAGGGCCCTGGGCCGCTTGGCCTAGAGAGACAGGGCTGCCGGGCTGGGCGGGCAGCAAGGAGCCTCAGACTTGTTGCAGAGAAGCCCATACCCTCTCCTCCGACAGGCTGGTGCCAGGAGATAGGGGGTCTGTCACCGAGCAGGGATTTGGGCAGGATGGACTGGCCCCCTGGACCTTGGTCGTCCATTCCTTCATTAGATCCTGTGACAGGAGTTTGGGGCCCCTAGGACTGTAAGTGGCAAGGCCACTGTCCCTGGGTGCACAAGCCGGTGACAAGCTCCCGCACAGAGCAAGGAGGAAGCGCTGGGAAGGTAGGGTTTCCTGGGGAGACGTAACTGCAGCCAAGCCGGCAGCGACCATGGAGGAGGAAGTGAAGTAGAGCTTGGAGGGCTGCCCCCCAAGAACGTTCCCGTGGGCCTGGGGTCCTGAGGGCTGAGCAGGGTTCTCAGCCCAGCCACTCTGGGCCCCGGGTTTTGCTGACACCTGGCACAGTCCTTGCTGCCCTCACCAGGATGGGGCTCGGGGGGTGGGGGTTCTGCTTGCTGGCAGGCCTTGGGGAGGGGAAGGGTCTCCCACGGCGTCTCATCCTCTCTTCTCTTCCCAGTCTAGGATGACGGGGTCCCGAAACTGGAGAGCCATGCAGGACACACGCAGGTACCGGCACCACTACCCGGTACGTAGCGCCCACAGCACCCTCCAACCTTCGAGCCGACCTGGGACAAAACCCTCCCACCTCCCACTGGGACAGGGCCAGCAGGACGCTGTCATCCGGGCCTCTCTAACCCACAGCGTCCTTGCTTCGAGAGGGGCCACAGTGCCAGCGCTCGGCACATCCCGGCCCACACCGCCCGCCTACTGCCGTGGTCTCCTCGTGTCCCCAGCCCCTGCTCTCTGCGCCCATGAGTCTCAGGCAACCCTGGGGCTGCCTCTGGGTGCAGATGAAGGGGACCTCCCAGCACTGGCCCATGTGGGTGAGGGGGGTTGGTCAGAGGTGGATTCTGACCTGTGGGCGGCGTGACAGGCCCAGGCTGGGCACATGGGGTCTTCACCAACCTTCAGGGCGTCTGGAGGTTTTCTGGCAGAGAGCAGGTGCCCCCTCAGAACACTCTCGTCTGAGGGCCCAGGGAGGCAGCCTGTTTCTCATGACGTCCCCACTGCCCTCTCTCTGGCTCTTCAGGATTTGATGGAACGGGACAGCAACGGTGACATGCCAAACCTGAGTTTCTACAGAAATGAGATCCGATTCCAGCCCAACGGTGTGGACCTGGGCCCTGCCTGCAGCTCCCTCCTCCTGAGGCGTCCCCTCTCCCCTCTCTCTGCCTCTGGTCTGCTGGGACCTGGGTTGCAGGGACCTGGTCTGGGTGTGCAGCACAGTGGGCCTGGGTAGCCCCACAGCACCCCCTGGAGGCTACTGAGGGGATGCCAGGGCTCCAACCTGCAGCTGGGACCCTGCAGGCAAACTTGCTGTGATGGGCCAGGCAGTCAATACTGTGGCTTTGCAGGGCCCAGGGTCTCTGTCACGACTTCTCGGCTCTTCTGCCGTAGTGGGACAGCCACATATGCCAACTGATGAGTAAAGGTGGTTTTTACATGTTTAAATGCCTGGGAAAACATTTAAGGTAGAATAACCTTTTTGACTTGAAAATTATATGAAATTCAAATTTTAGTGTCCATGAGTGAGGTTCTGTTGGAACCCATGGTCAGTGGCTGTTTTCCCAGGACATGGCAGAATGGCTGCAGAGGCCAAGTGGCCACGGGCCTCAAATATTCACTGTCTGGCCCTTTGCAGCAACCCAGGCTACGGGTGGCGCTCGGCTGCAGGCTGTCTGTGAGGGCAAAGACCTGCTAGGAAGCCACGGCCTGGGGGGCAGTGAGAACCCCTCCTTCAAGGACAGCTGCAGGTCTGGGACCCGACCACCTGCCCCTCCCTCAGGCATGGCCGTGTCTGGAGCCTACTCACAGTCAGCAGTGGGGGGTCCCTGTTTCCAGATTGCAGAGGAGCTAAGGCCCTAAGTTGGGGGTTAAAATCACACAAAACTGCAGAGCCCCAAGGTCCTCAAGAAGGGGGGCGGGGGGGGATTGTATAGTTCCACACTGACTTATCCCGTGGGGCTCCTAGGCTGTTTCATTGAGGATATTCTTCAGAACTGGAGGGACAACCATGAGCTCCTGGAGGACAATCATTCCTACATCCAGTGGTGAGCAGAGGGCAGGGCCTGGCTCCGGGAGGAGGGGTGGAGCTGGGCATCAGGAGGGGCAGGGTCTCCAGGGAAGGGGCTGGAAGGCCTGGTTGAGGTGTGACTTCCTGGAGTCTCCGTGCTCACTGGGTCCTTTTCTAAGCTGCATTTGGTGCTTACTACTGGGCACTGTGGCTCAGCAGCTGAGTAAGGTTGAGGGAAGGTCCTGCCCATCCCTCAGGCTCGGGTCCTTTAGCCGTGAACATCCCTGTGGCTGGCTGGGAGCGGAAGCCGCACATGGGGGACAGGAACTGAGCCAGCAGCATGGTGAGCCCCGAAGTCGGCTGGTGCTGGCCTGTCTTCCGTGGCGGTTTCTAACCGTGGCTTGAGGTGACCCTTGACATTGCCTCGAAAGCACAGTGTTTGAGGACGGCTCGCTGGGGGCCTCTCCTGGGCCCAGGGCACCTTGGGAATCACTCTCAGCGGAGCTAAGAACAAAAAGGCCAGCTGGTCGCCCTTGCTGCTGAGCGCGCTCGCTGGAGGCCCCTGGGCCTCACTTGTGCCTGTCCTGTGCCCTGGCTGTGACACCCAGCCTGGAGCTCTCCTGCCCCTCCTAGGGTTGAGTGGTGAGCCCAGAGAGGGTGGTGGGCCGCCCAGGCCACCCCGCCAGCATGTACCCCGTGGCTGGGAGCCCGAGTCTGCCACTGACGGGGTCTCCGCGTCCCTCCTGCAGGCTGTTCCCTCTGCGAGAGCCCGGGGTGAACTGGCATGCCAAGCCCCTCACACAGCGGGAGATCGAGGTGAGCCAAGGCTCTGAGCCCCTGGGGAGTCCCTTGAAGTGCAGGAGCTGGAAGACCCCCCCTCCCCGGTTATCTCCCCTCTAAAGTGGTCCTCGCCTCTGTCCCAGGCACCCCTCCTAGGCCTCCAGAGAAGTCGGACTGCTGCGGGGTCTGGGGCAGGGGCCAGCCTTTGTCACCCCTGGTTGGGGCTGGAGCAAGACCTCTCCCCCCAGAGGGATTGGTGGGGGAGCCACGGAGCATCTCAGGAGGGGGAATGTGCTCCAAGGAGACGGTGGGCATTTCCTGCTCCATGTGGCCCTGGGAGGCCCCCGAGCTCTTCCCAGCAGACGCTTCAGGCTATGGTGACCTCGGAGTAAAGAGACAGTTACGGTAGCAAGTCTCGGGGCTCCTTCACCCTGTCACTTCATCCTAAAAGCCTGAGTCCAGGCCTCTAGATGGAGCAGGCCTGCGGGAGGCCTTGGCCCCCAGGCCTCTGTGCCAGGGATGCCCCTGAGCTCTCCATTCCCCTCGGGCTGCTTTCCAGGCGTTTAAAAGCTCCGCGGAGGCCACGGAGCGGTTTGTGCAGGCCTACAAGCTCATGCTGGGGTTCTACGGGATTGAGCTCCAGGACCGGGACACGGGCAAGGTGCGCCGAGCAGAGGGCTACCAGAAGTGCTTCCAGAACCTCAACTGGTGAGGATGCCCACCTGGCAGCGGGGCAAATAGGTCTCAGGCCGAGGGGGAGGGGGCTGTGGTAGGTTTCAGGCGGGTGTCCCCGGGGCACTTCTGGGGAGCATGGGCAAGTGACTGAGGCTCTGAGCACCCTCCTTCTAGCTTGCAGGGTGGGGTGGTCCCTACCGGCTAGGGTGTGAGGGCCTAAAGAAAGTGCCACTGGCCCTGGCCGGTTTGGCTCAGCGGTTAGAGCGTCGGCCTGCGGTCCGGAGAGACCCGGGTTCGGTTCCCGCTAAGGGCACGTACTTTGGTTGCAGTTTGTCCCCGACCCTGGTTGGTCGTGCGGTGGCAGCCACTCGATGTGTCCCTTTCACATCGATGTTTCTCTCTCTCTCTTCCTCTCTCTCCCTCCCACTCTATCTGTACAAATCTATCTGTACAAAAAATGGAAAAATGTCCTCGGGTGAGGATAAAAAAAAAAAAAAAGGAAAGTTCCACTGGTCAGTGTGGCTTCTTAGCTGGCCCTCTGGCTCGGCCAGTGTCGCAGGCACAGCCAAGGGTGCCTCTTTCCATGACCCACAGGAGCCCCCTCCAACCCTCCTCCAGCCTTGCGGGGTACGGGGTGTTCCATGGGGTCAAGGGGACAGCCATCTTCTAGGGTACAGAGGACGCATCAGGATCCCGCCTGCCTGCCCCAGGCTCCGGGAGGTGGGGTGCAGCCCGGCCGGAGGGTGGGCCTCGGCTGAGAGCCGCCCCCCAGCGCCCTCTGCGCACCCCGCCCGCAGGCACAGCCACAACAACCTCCGCATCACGCGCATCCTCAAGTCGCTGGGCGAGCTGGGCCTGGAGCGCTACCAGGCGCCGCTGGTGCACTTCTTCCTGGAGGAGACGCTGGTGCACCGGCAGCTGCCGAGCGTGCGGCAGAGCGCGCTGGACTACTTCGTGTTCACCGTGCGCTGCCCGCGCCAGCGCCGCGCGCTGCTGCGCTTCGCCTGGGAGCACTTCCGGCCGCGCAGCAAGTTCGTCTGGGGGCCCCCGGACAAGCTGCGGAGGCTCCGGCTGCACTCGCCGCCCCGCCCCCCCTTGCCGGGCCCCAGGCAGGCCGAGGGGGAGGAGAGCCCCGGGGACCCCTTCCTCCAGGCCGGCGCCCAGGGGCGGACCTGCGGACCGGAGACGGAGACGGGCGAGGGTGGGGACGCACCGGCCGCTGGGTCCCAGCTGCCAAGCGCTGAGCCCCAGGAGCGGGACCCTGGAGAGGAGGCTGGGAGCCAAGGGGAGGAGGGGCCAGAGCCTTTGAGCCCCAAGGAGAGCAAGAAGCGGAAGCTGGAGGTGAACCGGCGGGAGCCGACCCCGGAGGAGCCAGGCCCCCAGAGCGCCTCGGAGGTGGAGAAGATCGCTCTGAACCTGGAGGGCTGCGCCCTCAGCCAGGGCAGCCTCGGGGCGGGGGCCCAGGAAATGAGCAGCCAGGAATCCGGGGAGACCGAGCAGCCCTGTCCCCCGCCCCCAGGGGCCAAGGTGGCCGACGAGGTGAGGAAACGGAGGAAGGTGGACGAGATGCTGGCCCCCACCTGGCCCCCTGCTCCCTTGGGGCACCCTGAGGCTGGACTGGACGAGAATGGGGTGAAGGAGGAGGCAGAAGGCCAGGGGGTGCCGGAGCAGGATGCCCCCGAAGGCCCGACCACTGCTGAACCTGCACTGATCAAGAGGGCGGAGTCTGCGGAGAAGGCGGGGTCTGCGGAGAGGGCGGAGTCTGTGGAGGCGGGGGCTATGGAGAGGGTGGGGTCTGCAGGGGAGGCGGGGCCTGTGGAGAGGGTGGGGTCTGCAGAGGAGGCGGGGCCTGTGGAGAGGGTGGGGTCTGCAGAGGAGGCGGGGCCTGTGGAGGCGGGGCTGGCTGCCAAACCCCAAACGCCTTAGGCAGTGGGACTCCAGCGGGCATCTCGGCCTGGCCCTGTGCTGGGGGGAGCCACGGTGCCAGCTGTACCCAGCGCCCAGCAGTGCTGGCCTCTCCCTGGTGGTCACTGCAGCTGTTGGAAGCACAGGCGCCTCAGGGGAAGGCCAAGGACTCCACAAAACTTACCTCAACCGCATCTGCTGCCTCCCTCCCCCGGTGCCACTGACCTGGTCTTTGTAAATGGGCCGGAAGGGTCTGGGGGTGGGAGTGGGGCTCACTTTCTTAGTCTGTTGCCCAGGCATTTTCTGAATAAACTCATTTGACTTAGTGTTTTGGTGTGGACAGTGGTCCTGTGGACTTCGGCTGGGCTGGGGCTGTTTTCATGAGCCATGCTGCTCGGTGGACTGGCCTGGCTGCGGCCCCACTGTGCCCACATGTAACACGGGGAACACAGCGCTGGTGCAGCCTTCAGACACGCGGTCTGCCCCGTGCACCCCGGCCACACAGCCTCTCAGGGCCCTGGGGCCCTTGACTGCCTTTTTGTCGAAAGTAAGTCTGGCCCCGGCTGGTTTGGCTCAGCCGTTAGTGTCGGCCCGCGGACCAATGAGTCACGGCGTTGAGTCCGGTCAAAGGCACTTACCTCCACTGTGATTCGTCCCCAGCCCTGGTTGGGGTTGTTTGGGAGGTAGCCACTCAAGGTGTCCCTGTCACGTTGATGTTTCCCTCTCTCTCTCTCTCTTCCTCTCTCTCCCTCCTATTCTGTCTGAACAAAAATGGAAAAAATGTCCTCGGGTGAGGATAAAAAAAAAAAGTTAAGTCTGGGTGCCTGGCTGGTGTCTCTCAGTGGATGGAGCATCCGCCCATACACCAGGAGGTCACCAGTTCCATTCCCGAGGTCAGGGCACGTGCCCCCCACTTTCGGCTTGATTCTTAGTAGGGACATGCAGAAAGCAGCCGACTGATATTTCTCTCCATCGATGTTTCTCTCTTCCTCTCTCTCTAAAAAATCAATAATAACAAATCTTAAATTTTTTTAATAAAATATGTCTTTATTGACTTTTCAGAGAGGAAGGGAGAGAGATAAAAACATCCATGTGAGGGAGAAAGATCTATGGGCTGCCTCCTACACGCCCCCTACTGGGGACAGAGCCCACAACCCAGGCATGTGCCCTGACTGGGAATCAAATTGGGACCTCTTAGTCCATAGGACAATGCTCAGTCCACTGAGCCACACCAGCCAGGCAATAAAAACAAACTTTAAGCCGTGGCCAATTTGGCTCAGCGGTTAGAGCGTCGGCTTGTGGTCCAGAGAGACCTGGGTTCGGTTCCCGCTGGGGGCACGTACCTCGGAGGGAGAGAGAGGAAGAGAGAGAGAGAAACATCAACGTGAAAGGGACACATCGAGTGGCTGCCACCCACACAACCCAACCGGGGCCAGGGACAAACTGCAACCAAGGTACGCGCCCTTAGCAGGAACCGAACCCGGGTGTCTCTGGACCGATGGCCGACGTTCCAACCGCTGAGCCAAACCGGCCAGGGCCAGAGCCCCCTCTTGACCCTCCACACGGGCACAGCCTCCCAGGACCCCCTTGGCCCCTGCAACCTGGCATGGGTACAGTGCACCCCCTCCTCTATCTGCCCCTCCCCACAAGACAGGGTTGGCTCTCAGCCTGGCTCCATCCCCTGGGCCAGGAGCCCTCCCTTCCTGATACTAGCATGAGGGGACTTCACAGAGGAACACACACTTTCTTTGTACAAAGGAAGTGACCTCACAATGTTCCTGGGGAGGAAGAGGGAGCCGAAGAAAAGCACTGAGGGTCCCCTCCTGCCCTGGGAGGGGGACCAGTCCCTGTCCATCAAAATTTCCATCAGGCCCCAGGATCCCTCCTTCCTCTCTGCCAAGGCCAACACTTTGCTCTCTTGGGGTGAGGGGTGCCAGGGGACAGTCTGGCCTTTGCTAACTGTGACTCCTGTATGGACCGCTCAGTATAAAGCTTGGGGTAAGGGCCCTGGGGCCGGAGGTGTTCCCAGCCTGGCCCTAGACTTGCCCATGGCAGGCCCACAGCGGGAGCCAGGGCTGTAGAGGGGTGGTCTGGGCCCTGGCACAGGGCATCCACCCTCTCTGAGGGTCTTCCTGGGTCTTGGGCAGCCTGGGTCCCACTGAGGGCCTGGGTGGGGAAGGACAGAGGCTCCCGGACCCCGTTTCTCAGACTAAAGCGGCCCCTTCCCCAAAGGAGTTCAGTGTGGGACTCTCCACCCCTGGGTGAGGAGCAGGGGAGAAAAGAACCCCTTTCTTTCTTGCTAAAAGGTGTATGTGTGCAACTCACCAGTGTGGGATAATTTTAACTCAGAGGCTGGCCAAAAAAATGCCACTGGTTGCTTCCCCCTTCCTCCCGCCGCCGCCGCTGCCGCCGGCTGGACAGGGAGGCAAGGAAGCCCCCGCCCACCCAGGTGAATGGGGGTCTTGTGATGCAGCCGGGAGGTGGGAACTGGCGACCTGCCCACCGCCCGCCCCGCCCTCCCAGCCCTGAGCCCCAGAGCCCCAGAGCCCCAGCCGTCAGCCACAAGCGCCACTCCGAGCGAGCGCTTGCAGCCATGGCCAGAGCCCCTGCCCTGGCTCTGCTCCTGCTCGGGCAGCTCCTGGCCGCGACCGTGACCGAGGCACAGGTGAGCACAGGGCCACAGGAGAGCTGGGCTCACACCCGTGGACTGGGGAGGGGGTCCAGGGCTCCGATATCAGACCTCCAGCAGTGCAGCCTGGGCACGGCCGCCGCACCCAGCCACCCTGGGCTAGCCACCGAGCGAGCCTGGGACACCGACGGCTAGTGTAGGGGTGTCGCAGCCCCCAGGCTGAGCCCCCGGACACCAGGACCCCTCAGAATGAGCCCAGAAGGCTGCCTGGTCCTCTCCAGGCCAGGGTCCAGCACCGCCAGGGCTGTAGCAACCACTAGAGACACACAATGTGGTCTTTGTTCCCCGAGGCTCCCCGCGGGGCAGGCGCAGCCCCTCCCCCTGCCCCGACAGGCTGCAGACCTGCGGGTCTCTGAGGCCAGCCGGGGTCATAGGCCCCTGTGACAGGCCCCACTGCTGCTGGGCCCAGGAAGGAGGGCAGCTCCGTTGGGCTGACCCGAGGGCCAACCAGGGGACCCTGGTTGAGGGAGAAGGGTGAGAAGTCCCAGGTGCCTAATGACATTTCTCCATTTCAGAAAGTGGGACCTCGAGGCCCCCCTGGTCCCCAAGGGCCACCTGGGAAGCCAGGCAAGGATGGCATCGATGTGAGTTTATGGCATGGGAAGGGCCCGGGAGGGTTCTGTGGGGTTCTAGCCCTGGCCCCAACCTCCCCGAACCCCCAATCCTGACGGAGAGAAAACAAAGTCCCACTTCCCAGGGTTAGGTGACATTGGGGTGATGAGCAGCACCCTTGGGGGATGTGACATGGGACAGAGGTGATCCTTGTTCCTGCTTGGGGCACACCCCAGGGGGACTGCACCCCCAGATTAGGGGCGGGGCGGCTGCATGCTGGTCTTTGGACTGGAAATGTGGGCACTGGGGTGTGTGTCTCTGGATCCCCTGGGGCCTGTGCTCCTGTACTCTGGGGCCTGGGTGTGAAGGTGCCTGTGTGTGGCTGCTGGGGTGGGAGCTGCCTTGGGGGCTTGGCCTGCGCTGTCTCCCCGGCAGGTGCCCCAGGCCAGCAGTGTGAGGAGGCAGCTGAAACGCTGCAGCCTGTCCCCAGGGTGAAAGCCCCCCCAGCCACCCCCAGGAAAGGCTGGGGCCCCTCCAAGGCACCGCCTCAGCCATAGGACCCCTGAGTGGAGCTCCCTCAGCCGGTCCTCAGCCTCCGGCTGGCCGGGCGCCTGGCACTCTGGGGCTCCTAGGTCAGCCCATCATTCCTTCTGAGCACGGTTCCATGCCAACCTGGCCTGGGAGCCTCCGTTCAAGGATTTCAGGCCCAGTGGTCATAGGGTGGAGGTCTGGGCTGCCTGCCTGGGGCTGCCCCTCTGACCAGGTGGGGGCAGGAGGCCTCCCAGCTGCCCGACCACTTTCTGAAGCTTTTCCAGCCAGTGGGGGGCTAGGGCTGCCTGCCACCTTCCCCTCGTTCCTGGGGGTAGTGTCTCCAAGCCCTCAGAGTGACCCCCAGAAGTTGTGTGGGCCACGTCAGGGCTGAGCCCACCTGTCCGGCTTGCCCCTCTTCCGCTCCAGCCGTGGTGCCTGGCCCTAGTGGGGAGGTGCTCTAGGTGAAGGGGGAGGAGCTCCCATCTTGTCTTCTGGGGCCCAGCTCTCTTCCCTGGGGCGGGGTCTTCAGGGGACCCTTGGTCACATGAGGGTGTCTCCCCCTCTGCAGGGAGAAGCTGGTCCCCCAGGTCTGCCTGGGCCCCCGGTGAGTGTCCTGGCTGTGGAGGGGGGAGGGGTGGCCCCTTCCCGTCTGGAGGGGAGGGTGGGCCTAGAACAGAAGGGTCATTGACACCCCTTGCCACCACACTGGGCCCTGGGTCACGGAGGAGAGGCCTCAGGGCTGAGCAGGGGCTGAGCCAGGAGGGGGAGGGGGAGGGCGTGTGGGTGGGATTTGGGTCTCAGGAGGCCCAGCTCTCTGGGCTGGGGGGTGGGGGGGGGCTACAGCCTGCAGGGAGCTGCCAGGCCCAGGAACTGAGGGTCCTGCTTCCCTGGGGGTCCCACAGAAGGGCTGCCAGCCCCTAGCTGGGGAGGCTGAAGTGCCCAGGTGGATGTCCTGCAGATGCGACCAGGAGGGAAGCCCTTCTGGGCCGGCGAGGGGCAGGCAACGGTCTGGGGGGGTCTGCAGGACAGACAGGGCTGGGCCCCGGGGGAGGGGCCCCTCTGGGATCGAGGGTGGTGCTCTGACTGGAAAACACTCGGTGAAGTCGAGACTCGCCGACCCTTCCTCACGCCTCTGCCCCTCCCCCACAGGGGCCAAAAGGGGCTGCAGGGAGACCAGGGAAACCCGGAGAGGCCGGGCTGCCTGGGCTGCCGGGTGTGGACGTGAGTGTTCCCCCTCCCTGGCCCCTCCCTCCCGGAGGCCCCGCCCACCTCCTGTGCCCCCGCCCCTTCCTGAGTCCCTCCCCTCCCCCAAGCCCTGATCCCCCCTCCCCCCTGCCTGAGGGGTGCCTGGTGTGGATGTGAGTGTTCCCCCTCCCTGGCCCCTCCCTCCCGGAGGCCCCGCCCACCTCCTGTGCCCCCGCCCCTTCCTGAGTCCCTCCCCTCCCCCAAGCCCTGATCCCCCCTCCCCCCTGCCTGAGGGGTGCCTGGTGTGGATGTGAGTGTTCCCCCTCCCTGAGGCCCCGCCCACCTCATGTGGCCCCGCCCCCTTCCTGAGTCCCTCCCCTCCCCCAAGCCCTGATCCCCCACTCCCCCCTGCCTGAGGGGTGCCTCCCCAGCCCCGAGTCCAGCTAGCTGCTCTCCAGCTGGGTCCACTCAAGCAGGAGAGCCCCAGGCCTGCTGCCCAGCAGGAGCCCCTTGGCCCTTATCCCAGAGCCCGGTCTGGCCGGCAGAGGACAGAGCCCGCCACAGGAGAGGACAAGTCCCACCAGCTTGGGCTTCTCCGGGAACAGACGCCCATTATCCAGGCCTCCTTGAGCCCTAGCATGGCCTCTGTCATCAGGCCTCAAGGCCTGGCCCCAAGGCCACGGGGAGTGTGCGGACCGGAGGGGCTAAGTGGACTCTCCTGCCCGCTGGCCGCCCCGTGCCCCCCGAGGCTCTGGACTCCCCAGGAGGGCAGTGGACAGCCAGGAGAGGAAGGCACCGGGCCCGGGGGCCTCAGCCACGCGGCTCTCGTTGGGGAAGGGACCACGGCTTGTTCTTGCTCCTGCACCGGGAGGGGACACATCCTTTCCACGTGACCACTCCAGCCCCGTGCCTCCCTCCTAGGGCCTGACGGGCAGGGAAGGGCTGCCTGGATCCAAGGGCGCCCCTGGAGATCGGGTACGTGGTTCAGGGGCGAGGGCGGGGCGGGGTGGCCAGGCTGGGCACACTGCGTCCTCAGGGCCCTGGTGTCGGTGGCTCTGGCTCTGAGGGCCCTGCCGTGACTGGGATGGTGGGGAGCCACCCTGTGGGGTGCAAGAGGGCAGAGAGACACAGGGTGGAAGTGGACAGTTCCCATGATGCCCTTCCCATTCCACATCCACCTCCGGTCAGAGTTGCGCTGGCATTCACATCGTGTTGGGGAGCTGGTATGGTTGGGTAGCGACTCCTCCCCAGGGGAACCCCCACCCCGTCTCTGTGCCCACCTGAGAGACCGACCAGCCTCTTCGGGAAGACTCTCCAAGCCCAGCGCGGTGTCACTTTCCGCTGCGTGAGCAGTGACCACCCAGCCCGGGTGCGGAGGGGTGCGGAGGGCCGGACCGCACACAGCCCTGCGGGGGGCTCAGCTGCAGGCGTGTCAGGAACAAGCAGAGCGGCAGCTGTGCCAGTGGGCCCTCGGGTGCCCGGGCGGAGGGCAGCAGCACCAGGCTCCCTGCAGGGACCTCGGGTGGGCAGGGACATGGGAGGAGAGTGCAGGGACTGGGTCTGCAGGATGCCAGGGTGCAGGAGGGCCAGCGGGCCGGGGGGCACACAGGGCCTGGCACCGAGGCTCTGCGCTCTCTCCCGGGGCGCAGGTGGCGGCCTCAGTGACCTTCGAGGAGCTTACCGGGGGGATGAGTCCAGGGCCCCAGTCTTCTGTGAAAGGGGGCCTCCTCCTCAGAGGAGCTGCAGGATGGATTTGGGAGGGAGAGGAACAGGTCTGCAGACAGCGGAGGGGTGACTGAGCCCAGCTCACCCCTGACACCCAGTTTCCTTCCGCAGGGAAGTCTGGGACCCCCAGGGCCGCCCGGGCTTGGGGTGAGTACTATCTCTCCTCCTGGTGAGAATTTGAGGAGCTGAGGGTCTGACCAGGGTGGGGTCCCCCAGGCCCTCTCTTCTGCTGTCCCTCTGGGCTGGGTCCTCTCTCCCACAGGAGGTGGGGGGAGGTTCCTCTCCACACCTACCAGGTCGGCTTAAGGGGTAAGGCGGGGTGGTGGGCACCCTGCTCTGTCCCCCAAGCTCTGACCCCATGCTTGGCTCCGCAGGGCAAAGGCCTCCCCGGACCCCCTGTGAGTACCGACAACTCTCTTGGCCCCCAGCCAAGCATGCCCACCATGCACAGAGCCAGCCTGGCTGCCAGGTCCCACACCAGGGCTGGGGGGGGACTTCTGGGGGACAGAACTCTGACTGCCCGCCCTGAGCCTCATCCCCTCAGAAAGGGCAGACTGGCCCCACGTGGGGGTCTGGGAGTGGGCCCCTTGGGTGCAGACGCCCACCTGTCACTTCTTCGCCCCAGGGAGAGGCAGGAGTCAGCGGGCTCCCAGGTGGACTCGGCCTCCGGGGCCCCCCGGTGAGTGGCTGCCCCAGACCTTCCCCCCTACTGGGAACAGGCCAGAACCCCTGAATTCAACCTCGAAGAACTTCCCCAACCTCCCACCTGTCTCTCCTCTCCCGTCCCCCTCCCCCGCCCCTTCCCTGTCTTCGTGGAATCCCTGGCTGACATCCAGGCCAGGCTGGGGGAGGTCGGGGAGCTGGGAGCAGCCCCCCAAGGACAGTGTGGAAAGGTTTCTCCCGGAAGTAGCTGGTCACCTCACCTCCGGTGGGGCTTGTTCTGCTGCATCTCGGTCATGATCCCCCCAGGGACCCTCTGGACTCCCAGGCCTGCCCGGCCCTCCAGGCCCTCCTGGACCCCCAGTAAGTATTGGACGGGGCTGCGCATGACACGGTGGGTGTCACTCCTCTGTCCCCAATCCCCCTCCCCTGCCCTCGGCCGCAGCAGCCCCGGGACCTGCACCCGTACCCACTCTCCAGACAGCCCACTGAGTCTAGGGCCCAAGCGGAGACTTGGGGATAGTCAGAGCTCCAGCGGCGGCCACTCCACCCCAGGGCAGGTGGTCTGTCCCGGTCACGTGCCCTGCAGATGGGCGGCAGCGCTGGCCACAGGGGAACATGGGCTTGAGGCCCCTGCTGGTCCCTGGGTGGGGGTGGGGGTGGGGGGGCAGCCACACAGTCAGCCATCTGTGTTCCAGGGTCACCCAGGGGTCCTCCCCGAAGGCGCTGCTGACCTCCAGGTGGGCACTGTGTGAAGGGGGCTGGGGTGCCTGTCTTGGTGGGAGGGGGCTCTGGCCTGACCCCCCGCCTCAGAGACCCGTCTGGGGATCAGTCTGCTCCCTCCCTGCGGAGGCTGGGGTGGGGTCCAGGCACAGCCTCCCCACGTCCTCCAACCCCACCCTGGCCACCAGCCAGCCCTGCACAGGCCGCATGCAGCCCTGAGAACCCAACGGGCCAGCTCCTCTGCTGGCCACACGTCCGGGCTCCTGGCTGCACCTGGCCATGCCGGCGGCCCTGGGCACCCAGACACATGTGCCATCACAGGAGGCTCCGGACTAGAGTCGGGGACTCGCTGCCATCTTGGCCTTAGAGCTCCGTCACTCACGCAGAAGGGAAAAGGGCGGCCAGGCGGCCAGACCTGCTTCTGGGCCTTCGTGCTGTCTGCCAACTCTCTGCGCCCCCTCCGCGCCCCAGGGGGAGGGGCATCTTCCAGAGCAGGAAATGGCTGAGCCCCAGGGGCCCCCAGAGGCTGGGGCGGAGGTCCCTGGCCTGAGGCTGTGCAGGCAGCTGTGGGCTGGTCTGCAATCCTCACGCCCCCTCACGCCCCGACTGGAGCATCTAGTCTGTGCCGAGGGCCACACGGCCCCTCCTACAGCACTCTGGGCGCCAAGAACCCGCCTGGGGTCCACCGCGGGGAGCCGCTCTGGACGAGGCCTTTGTGCAGCCAGCAGACCGGCTGAATAGCTGCCTTGAACCCGAGCCGGCGCTGAGGCCGAGAAATCGGAGCCGGGCTGTGAGGGAGGCCGGGCCGGCCGGGGCTGCGGTCTGGCTCCGCCGGCGGCGCCCAGCCCTGAATGAGGTCCTGTGTGGCCGAGGCCACTTCACGTGCGTCCTGAGCTCAGAGCCGGGCCCCTGTTGTCTGGGAGGGGCCTGACCGCTCTGTTTTCCCACAGTGCCCAGCCATCTGCCCACCAGGGCCTCCCGGTCCCCCAGGAATGCCAGGGTTCAAGGTGAGTGGTGTGGCCACTGGATGGTTCAGACCTGAGCCCCCCTCCACGTCTTGTAGGAGGCCACCCAGCCCCTCTGTGGGCTGAGATGGGGGGAGATGGGGATCCAGAAAGAGGGGTTGGCCGCCCACTCTGCTTGGGTGCCTGGCTCTGTGTCCCCCACCCCCGGCAACTCTGCAGATCCGCTGGGCACGGTGGGCACAGAGAGAGCTGGCTCCCTGGCCCAGCCCGCCCCAGGCTGTGCTGGCTCCCCGCGGGGCCTTGGTTCAGGGCTGCGGGGGGCAGGCTATGACTCGTCACCCACCACTGCTTTCAGGGTCCCACCGGCTACAAAGGGGAGCAGGGAGAAGTCGGCAAAGACGGCGAGAAGGTGCTCGGGTGGTGGCGGGTTGCCCACTCGGGGTGGCAGCTGGAAGGGAGGGCACTTGGGGGTGGCGGGCGAGTCAGTGTCATCGAGGACGTGCCCTGACTGAGTGGCTCCCATGCACACCTCCCCAGCGGGCTCGGCTGCCCAGGTGATGGGACAGGGACTCTGGACAGACCCCCAACCCAACCAGCCTGGGTGGGCCCCACCGGTGGCCAGAGAAGGTTGGCTTCAGCTCAGTGTCCCCCAGAAGTCCTGCCACCCTCCCCTATGGCCACTGCCCGCGGAGACCGTCTGTCCTTCCTCAGCACAGGCTGGTGCCCTCCAGCATAGCAGGTGTGGCCAGACTGCCGTGTGGGCAGCCGAAGGGCCGCCCCAGCCAGGAGGTGGTGTCAGAATGGCCGGGAACCTGGAGGAACAAAGGCCTTGGGAGGGTCCCACCTCCCTGCAGCAGGGCCTGCGGGGGGCGGCGGCATGGGGAAGGGGCTGGAAGAGCTGGGCTGACCCCACTGTTATTTTCCCCGCCTCCCCTGCAGGGTGCCCCCGGCCCCCCTGGGCCCCCCGGCATCCCTGGCACAGTGGGGCTGCAGGTGAGTGGGGAGGGCTGGACGAGGCTGAGGATGCGGATGGGAGCCCCTTGGACAGACCCGGGTTCGGGGCACAGTCCATCCACACCCACAACTGGAACATGGCCAGGGCCTGCCTCCCGACTGCTGACCCCAGGGGTCCGAGGCCCTGCCCTCAAGGCCTAGGCTGAGGCCGAGGGCTTCTTGGGAGGCCAGCACGGACCCCCAGTGGCTCCCGGAGGGCCGTCAATCCTGGGGGCCCGGGCCCTGCATCTCCAGCTCTCTCCCCACAGGGCCCTCGGGGGCTCCGAGGACTGCCAGGGCCACTCGGCCCCCCCGGGGACCGGGTAAGTCCACCAGCACCCCCACACACCAAGGGGACTGTGGGCCAGCCCAACGTCAGCCCAGGTTGAGGGGGCACCTCCAGACCTCACCAGTGACCACAGATGGGCCACGTGACTTGGCCAGGCTGCCCCTGGGCCTCCCTTTACTCAGCTGTTCCCCCAGCTGGGGCTGTGAAGGTTTCGTGCCAGGCGGGGGTGGGGGCAGGAGGGGGAGCCTTGGTAAACACAGGAGGGGCTGGGGGCTAAATAGGGCACCTGCTGGGGGTGCTCGAGGCAGGGCTGCTCCAGATAAAGCAGGGGCCTCAGTGGGGTGCTGGCCAGGCTCAGAAGCGAGGCCCGGGTGCCCTCTCTTCTCCACAGGGTCCCATCGGGTTCCGAGGACCCCCCGGGATCCCAGGAGTTCCCGGAAAAGCGGTATGTGTGAGTGTGGGGGTTGAGGGGGCCCCAGGCTCTCTGTTCCCTTCCCTCTTCCTCACGCAGATGCCTCCCCAGCCCCACTGGGCTGCACTGGCCATCTCGGAGCTGAGCATTCTGTTCTGTGGGCACACCTAGGTGTCTATGGGCACACCTGGGCAGGTGCCTGTGGGCACACCTGGGCAGAACCAGGGGGCACACCTGAGCAGGTGCCTGTGGGCACACCTGGGCAGAACCAGGGGGCACACCTGAGCAGGTGCCTGTGGGCACACCTGAGCAGAACCAGGGGGCACACCTGGGCAGGTGCCTGTGGGCACACCTGGGCAGAACCAGGGGCACACCTGGGCAGGTGCCTGTGGGCACACCTGGGCAGGTGCCTGTGGGCACACCTGGGCAGAACCGGGGGGCACACCTGAGCAGGTGTCTATGGGCACACCTGGGCAGAACCAGGGGGCACACCTGAGCAGGTGCCTGTGGGCACACCTGAGCAGAACCAGGGGGCACACCTGGGCAGGTGCCTGTGGGCACACCTGGGCAGAACCAGGGGGCACACCGGAGCAGGTGCCTGTGGGCACACCTGGGGGGCGAGCTTACCAACGGGGTTTCTCTGTCCTGTGTGGAAGATGCGTCTCTCCCTGGACATGGAGGGAGGTGTGGCCAGCATCCCTCCAGCCCCTGAGCTCTCCCACCTGCTTGAGTTGTGACCTCTGTCCCTGTCCCCCTTGTCATTTCAGGGTGACAGAGGCGAGAGGGGCCCAGAGGGGGTCCGCGGCCCCAAGGGTGACCTTGTAAGTGAGAGCAGCCTGCTCCTCTGGGTTCTTCCTTGAAAGAACCCAATCTGCGGGGTCGGGGGGGGGGGTATGGACAGCACGCACAGGAGACATGGGGTGGCTGCCTTTCCCGGGGTAGGGGGCTGAGACCCATGGGGCCCCGGCCTGCCTGGGAGTCCTCCACCCCCCTTCCCATCAGCACCTCGAAGATACCGGCACCTGACAAGCTCCCCTGCCGCCCCCAGATCGGCCAGGCTGGGTCCACAGGACCCGACTCCTGGGTGCAAATTCTGGCCACTGACCCCTCCACCGAAGGGCCCGGGCAGCTGCTGGGCTGGGTTCCATGAACCAGCTCAGGGCAGGAGTCTCAGAGTGAGAAGCAAAGATAAGCAAAGCCGAGAGGGGACCGGGCGACTGAACGGCCATCCCCGAACTGGCGGTGGCTGCGGACACACCAGTTCTCCCTGGACTCTGCTGGCCGCCCACGGCCCGGAGACAGGTCCCTGCACTGGGGTCCGGCAGCGCTGCTGTCCCCCGCCAAGCGCAGCGCCTGGTCCCCGCCCACCGGAGGCCCGGGAACTAGTGGGGTACCTGGAAGGGAGGTTCCTCACAGGCCCAATGCGGTGGCTCGTGTGTCTTTTAGGGCAGACCTGGTCCCAAAGGAGTCCCCGGAGTGGCCGGGCCAGCCGGAGAGCCGGTGAGTCCCCAGCCACCGCAGCGCGGCCCACACAGCTGTCCCTCCGCGGAGCGGCCCTGCCCCTGCCCCCGCCCGCGTCCTGCCCCCACGCTGCCCCTGCCCTGCCCTGCCCCTGCCCTACCCTCCCACCCTACCCCGCCCTGCCCCCCCACTCTGCCCCTACCCCCCACTGTCCCCGCCCTGCCCCCCACGATGCCCCTCCACGATGCCCCCTCTCCCCCATGCTGCCCCCTGCGCCTGCCCCCGCCCTGCCCCCCCACAATGCCCCTCCCCTCCATGCTGCCCCCGCGCTGCCCCCCCCACCTTGCCCCTGCCCTGCTGACTCGGTACTTCCTGTGGTCTCTGCCTGTGTCCCCCTCCCCCCGGGCTTCAGGGGCATGTGGCCCTCACGGGGCCAGTTAATACTCCGCCGCTGCCCCATCCTCCAGAAACCTGGACGGGGTTGGACAGCCCACATCCCGACTCACACGGGGCTGCAGCCCCAGCCCCAACCCCTCCCCCACGCAGAGGCGGAGCTTCTGTCATTCAGGGCGCCAGGGGCGGGGCGATGAGACCCGCAGACCCAGGTGCAGGACACCCCTCTGCACCACGCCCCTTTGTCCTTGCTGCCGCCCACGCTCAGCCCAGACCTCTGGCCCTGCCCGGTCCTGGACGACAGGCCCTGGGTCCCCTCTGAGCAGGACCCCGGGCGCAGGGCGCAGGGTGGCCCCACGGGAGAAGCACCGCTGTCCAGTCCTCCTCCGGGACGTGGCTGTGTCCTCAGCTCCAAATCAGTGGAGAGCGTGGGGTCAGACAGGCCTGGGCCCGAACCCGGGCTCAAGCCTGTTTCCGCATCTGAGAGACAGGTCTCCCCTGGGGCCATGAGGAGCCGGGCAGAGGTGGAGGGTCCCACAGGCACTCAGGGGGCACCAGGGCGCATCCTCCCGCCCCTCGCCTGCCCGCGCCCCACACCTGCTGGTCTGGGGACAGCACCGGTTCCTAGCCTGTGGCCTGGGCTGGCCGGCCGGCTCAGGAGGCAGAGTAGTTCGGGGACACGGGAACTGCCCGAGCAGGTGGCCTGGAGGGCGGCAGGTCGGAGCAGGGGGAACACGCTGCCTGTCAGGCAGAGTTCATGCCCTTGCCTGTCCCCAGGGCATGCCGGGCAAGGACGGCAGGGATGGCGTGCCGGGGCTGGATGGCGAGAAGGTGGGTGCTGCGCTGGGGCCTGCGGGGAGGAGGGGTTCTGCAGGGAGTTCTGCCTCCCAGGCCTCAGCACCCCATCTCCCCTGAACCTCCATAGGGAGAGGCTGGCCGCACTGGTGCCCCAGGAGAGAAAGGTCCCAACGGGCTGCCGGTGAGTGTGTGGGGCCCCCGCAGGGCCTGGGGCTGTGCCGCGGGTGCTCCCAGGGCAGGGTCTCTCCTGGGGGGCCCTGACCGGGCTTGTGCGGGGGGCGCTGCCTCTGGCCCGTGTGCTACGACTCCTGACCTCTGTCCTGCAGGGTCTCCCCGGAAGAGCAGGGTCCAAGGGTGAGAAGGGAGAGCTGGTAGGTGGCTTCTTTCTCCGGGGGGAGGCAGCCAGGGTCCTGGGCCTGGGCCGGGCGGCACTCAGGGCCCCCTCTTCCACGCAGGGCAGAGCCGGAGAGCTGGGCGAGGCTGGCCCCTTAGGAGAGCCGGGCATCCCGGTGAGTACCCACAGCCCTCCCCCCGCCCCGCGTGCACAGACCCCTGACACCCCTCCCCCTTCCCTGTGTAGGGCGACGTCGGCATGCCCGGAGAGCGCGGGGAGGCTGGCCACAGGGGCTCCGCGGTGAGTAAGGACGAGCTTGTCACCACCCCGCCCGGGTTCTGTGGGCTGGGATCGTGTCTGCAACACACCAGTGGGCCGAGTGCACCACACCCGGGGCGGGGGGTGATTGAGACACCTGTGCTGAGGGACAAAACCACGGCAGGGCGCTGTGGAAGCTCCCAGCTCGTCCCGCCCTCGACGTAAACGGTGACATCAGCCACTGCGCCCAGAGTCCTGGCGCCAATCTGGCTGATGCACACAGCCCCAGGGTGGGTCTGACTGACCTCTGGGACCCCAACTACCCCGTAGGACACCCCCCTCTGCCCCTATGCCTGGGCCAGATGGCCGGGGACCAGCTCCTGTGTGCGCCCAGCTACTGGGGGGCAGAGCAGGGCTCACACCTACTTCTGCTTTTCAGGGGGCTCTGGGCCCGCAAGGCCCTCCCGGGGCCCCTGGCATCCGAGGCTTCCAGGTGGGTGAGGTTTGGGGCAGGGTGTGTGCCCGTGAGCCCAGGTGGGCCAGCCGGGTGGGAGGGGTCCCTGCTGGGCTCCCTGGGGGTGCTGACCAGCTGCTCTTCGTCTGCAGGGCTGGAAGGGCAGCATGGGGGACCCTGGCCTGCCAGGCCCCCAGGGCCTCCGAGGTGACGTGGGCGACCGGGTGAGTGGCCAGCAGGCTGTCCTGGGGCCCACCGGGCACAGGGCCACACTGCTCTGAGGTGCGTGGAACCACCCTCGACACCACGGTGGCAACACTGCAGGGAGCTCTGCTGCTTCCCGGGGTCTGTGGCCACGGCCGGTGGTGGTCAGGGCACAGAGGGCCCGGGCCGGCTGCTGGTCACCAGGTGGGAAGTCCAGGAGGGCTGTGGCCCGGCAGGTCTGTGGGAGCCCTGGGTTCCCGCGCCGGCCCCGCTGCGCCCAGTGGGCTCCTCAGACATGACTTCGAGGCCCCAGGAAGGCCACACCTGCCTCCAGACATCTTGCAGCCGGGGGCCCGGGAGCCACCACGCAGGACGTGGGGGAGAGATGGAAATCCCTGGCCTGTGGTGGGGCCCACAGGCCCTTCATTGCCCCCCGGGGAAGTTCAGGGAGTCCAGCAACACCTGGGCCTCCAGGAGGGTGGGGTGAGGCTGTGCCGCAGCCTGCAGGCTCCTCCTGGAGGCCTCCCGGGTGTCCTGGGTCCCCTGTTCCCCAGCTGCTATCTCAGCAAATGGACCGTTTGTATGTTAATGCTCTGGGGGCTGCCTCCCAGGCAGGGCCCTAAGCTCACAGTCGGGTGGGGGCCCCTTCGAGTCAGCAGTGGGCCCTGCATTGCGTGTGTGAAGGTCCCCACCTGGTGTGACAGCCCGAGAGGGGCAGTTCCCTGGAAGGTCCCGAGACGCGGAGGGACAGGCACGGAGGGTCTCGAACCTGAGCCTGGCCTGGGGACTGAGCGTCCGGGAGGGAACACACACCTTCCACCCCCAGTTCCTCTGACGCTGAGCCCCTTCTCCGCACAGGGCCCGGGAGGAGCCACAGGCCCTAAGGGAGACCAGGTGAGCTGGGGGTGGGGCCAGGTGCGGGTGGCCCCTCTGAGCTATCTGGGCAGCAGCCGTTCTCATGTCCCCGTTCCATCGTTGTCCTTGGGGGGCATGGTGACGACAGTTCTGGGCCCCCCACCCCAGAGCCAGACCTGGGACAGGGCAGCTGGCCCCATGCCACCGGCCGGCTCCTGGGCAGTAGCTGAGGCCCCGGGAGGGCGTGTCCCCTGCTGACCTGGGTTCCGCCTGCTTTCCCAGGCAGCCCCGGGCCCTTTCTCGTATTGACCGGGGACCTAGAACAATCTGAACCAGATGAGCGCCCTGGCCGGTCTGGCTCGGTGGTTAGAGCGTCGGCCTGCAGACTGAAGGGTCGCAGGTTTGAGTCCCGGTCAAGGGCACGTACCTCGGTTGCAGTTCAATCCCCGGCCCTGGTCGGGGTTGTGCGGGAGGCAACTAATCGATGTGTCTGTCTCACATCGATGTCTCTCCTCTCTCCCTTCTTCCCTCCCGCTCCATCTAAAGATAAATGGAAAAATATCATCGGGTGAGAATCTAAAAACAAATTAAAATGAAATTAACCCGGACTGGTGTCACCTGGGAAGAACAAGTGTCACCTGCTGTGGGCCCAGCTCTGGCCCCCAGGCCCAGAGTCTGGGAACTGCCTTGGGGTGACCAGGCCCCTAACATGGGTGTCGTTTCAGGGCATCGCCGGTTCCGACGGTCTTCCCGGGGACAAAGGCGAGCTGGTGAGTGTGGCCGGTGAGGCTGCCACTGCCCACCGAGCTGTCCTGGGGGAGGCGGCCACCGGCCTGCCCTGCCTCACGCCCAGCGCGGACCTTCTGGTCTCCGGCCCAGACAGTGTGGTCCCAGGCGGGCAGTGCCTCGAGCTGGGAAGCCTCCGGCCGTGCTCGGGCGGCGTGAGCCGAGGCCTCGCTCCTGGCCACCCTCTGGCTCGACGGGCGCAGAGCATGGCGTCCGGGCTGCCACCTGGACAGCCGCTCGGAGGTCTGCTTGGAACGGTTCTGGGGGTGCAGCGGGGGGGTGGGTGGAGGCACAGAGCCCTGGGCGTCTGTGTGACCATATAAACGGTGGGAACAAGTAAGCGTGTATGCGAGGAAGCTCTAAGCACAGATGAAACGCCCTGGGGGCTCAGCTCAAACATCAGCAGATACAATCTAGTCTGAACCGAGCCCTGGCCGGCGGCTCGGCAGTTGGGTGTGGTCCTGTGCACCAAAAGGCTGCCGTTCGATGCCTGGTCAGGGTTCGACCCTCGGTTCGAAGCGCATGTGGGAGGCAGCCGATCGATGTTTCTCTCTCCCTGACCCTCTAAGAATCATAAAGACATATTTAAAAACAAAAACAGCCCTGGCTGGTGTGGCTCAGCGGTTAGAGCGTCGGCCTGCGGTCCAGAGAGACTCAGGTTCGGTTCCCGCTAAGGGCATGTCCCCAGCCCTGGTTGGTCGTGTGGGTGGCAGCCACTCGATGTGTCCCTTTCACGTCGATGTCTCCCTCCCCCTCCCTTCCTCTCTCTAAAGTCGATGGAAAGCGAGTCCTCGGGTGGGACTGACGGCAAACAACCTACAGGGACGGAGTCACAGTGGCTTTGTGGACATTTGACTTTTTATTTCACCCTCAAGTAACAACATTCCAGCAGCTACTTCCCACCAGGTGACACGTGAGTCAGTAAAGTGCTCGGCTTCTCTCTTGCAGGGACCCAGTGGCCCCGTAGGGCCCAAAGGAGAGGTGAGTGCTGCCAGCCGGTCGAGGACAAGCCACGAAGCAGCCCCGGCCCCCGGCGTCGTAAATGCTCGATCCTCAGGAGCGAGGAGGCAGCTGGGGTGCCTGCCCGACCCACCTCCTGCTCTCTCCCCAGTCTGGCAGTCGAGGGGAGCTGGGCCCGAAAGGCATCCAGGGTCCCAACGGCACCAGCGGCGTCGAGGGCGTCCCAGGCCCCCCTGGGCCTGTGGGCTTCCAGGGCGTCCCCGGCGTGCCTGGTATCACTGGGAAACCCGGAGTCCCGGTAGGCTGCCTTCCTTCCAGGGTGTGATAGTTGGGGGGCCCCCTCGAGGTGCCAGCACACTCCCCGCCTGCTGACCAACTCGGGGGTGAATTTCAGGGGAAAGAGGCCAGTGAGCAGCGCATCCGGGAGCTGTGCGGGGGCATGATCAGCGGTAAGTGCCCCCCGCTCTGCCCCCAGCTGACCCCGTGGCCCCCCCGCAGGCTCACATCATGCCTGGCGCCCGGGGCCTGTCCTAAGTGTCTGATGAACAAAACAGCTACAAGGGACACATAACTGTGCCCTTCCGGCTTTGATGGACAAGTGGACACCTGGCCACGCGGTTCACGGGACCGTATGGAGCTCAAAGGGAACCAGCATGTCCTCCAGCCTGCGGTTCCCTCTCATGGAACGGGGTGGAGGTGTGAGGGCGTTTGTCGGGAGCCCCCGGCCGCAGCTTGGCTGCAGTCGGCAGAGAACCCCACTGAGCGGGACACGCAGGACGGGCTCTGACCAACCGCCCACCTTCGTTCCCACAGAGCAAATGGCGCAGCTGGCCGCTCACCTGCGGAAGCCGTTAGCGCCGGGATCCATTGGTCGGCCCGGCCCCGCGGGGCCCCCTGGTCCCCCGGGGCCCCCCGGCTCCATTGGTCACCCCGGTGCTCGGGGACCCCCAGGATATCGGGGCCCCACCGGAGAGCTGGGAGACCCCGGACCCAGAGGTGAGTGCAGGCAGCGCCCCACATGGCGACACGTGGAGCCCAGACCTCCCGCCCCCCACACGGAGACAAGGACCGGGGAAATGTTGGGGCCCCACTCCTTCCCTTCTCTGTCCACACGGCGCACGACCCCTAAAGGCTGAGCTTTGGACAGAAACTGCCTCAGGCCCAGCACAGCAAATCCCCTTTCCGTCCTGCAGGTACATTTTTAAAAACGCGATGTTTTTCTCGAATACCATCAGAACATCTCGGGGAGCGGGGGTGGATAAAACGTGGGGGACGAATACACAGGCCCCTTCACACTTACCAGCACGCAGCTGGAGACCACCCTAAGGACTAGGAAACACTAGGAAACATTAGAAAGGGACACAGTCCTGCACCCGCCCGCTGGGACCCCGCGTGGACTTGGTGGGGCGCTCGGTGCCCAGACAGAAACGGGGCCTCGGGACGTGCAGACACCAGCCGTGGGAGCCGCTGGGCACTCGCCTTCCCCCCAAGGCCTTTCGCCCTTAGCTGGTCTGAAAATGCGGAGTTTGCCAGCACGGGCGGCCTGCAGCCTGGCGGGACCCTCGTGGCCCAAGTTAAGAATTTATTTTTATCCTCACCCGAGGACATTTTTCCATTTTTGTTCAGATAGAGTGGGAGGGAGAGAGAGGAAGAGAGAGAAAGAGAAAGACAGTGACACGAAAGAGACACATGGACGGGCTGCCTCCTGCACGACCCCAACCAGGGCCGGGGGCGAATCGCAACCGAGGTCCGTGCCCTTGACCGGAATTGAACCCGCGACTCATTGGTCCACAAGCCGACGCTCTAACAGTTGAGTCGAACCAGCCAGGGCACCAAGTTAAGAATTTAAAGCTCATGATTCCAATCTGTTCCAACTGACTAATCACATAATTTTGTTTCTGAGAGCGAGCGTAGAGATTGGATGATTTCCACCCCAGGGGGCAAACGTGTCATGTTCCCCGTCTGGTCCCAGAGGTAACTGGACTGGAATTAAGGCCCAAACTCTCCGTGGTGTCTGGAGACAGTTCTGGTGTCTCTGGGTGTCTGTTCTGGGCCGTCTTCACACAGGGGTCTGAATGCCTCTAAGACTGTTGAAAATAAGACTCAAAGGCAGGATTAATCACTTTGATGGGTTCTCTCAGACAAGCAGCGTGACGACTCTCACCTGAAGGCCACCCCAGCTGCGTGGGTCAGGCTGCGTCTCCTCGACCCCTGCCCACGGATGGGCCTCTGTCCTGCGGAGGCTGGCGGACGGACCGCCTCCTTGGGACATGCACGGCTCGGGGACGGGGCGGCTGTGACATTGATGGGGTGTTCAGTGCAGGTCCTCAGGCGGAAGTTCGCTCCGCGCTGAGTGACCCCTGCCCTGGACACAGGTCAGGGATGCGGCAGGACCCACACGCCCCGCAGGGAAGCCATTCCCACCAGTGGTCCCGGCAGCCTGTGATGATGGCCCCCGCCATTCACCTGGCCCCTGCCGCTCACCTGGCCCCTGCTGCTCACCTGGCCCACGATGCTCACCTGGCCCACGATGCTCACCTGGCCCCTGCCGCTCACCTGGCCCACAATGCTCACCTGGCCCCTGCCGCTCACCTGGCCCCTGCCGCTCACCTGGCCCACAATGCTTACCTGGCCCCTGCCGCTCACCTGGCCCACAATGCTTACCTGGCCCCTGCCGCTCACCTGGCCCACGACACTCACCAATGCAGAGGCAACGGGATGGAAGATAACCCCCTGAGGAAGCTGGAGTTGGTCTCCTGGCATCAGGCCATCAGCACGTTCGACCCCACAGGCCAGGAGCAGGGCCGCACGTCCGAGCCCACGGGCCAGGAGCAGGGCCGCACGTCCGAGCCCACGGGCCAGGAGCAGGGCCGCACGTCCGACCCCAAGGGCCAGGAGCAGGGCCGCACGTCCGATCCCACGGGCCAGGAGCAGGGCCTCTTGTCGGGGGCCTCGTGACACGATGGCCAGAGCCAAGGGGGCGGGAGGCTGGGCTCCCACGGCTGGAGGGGCGTCTGCGATGCCTTTGCGCCCTGGCTGCCTTGGCTCACTGGTGAGAGCATCAGCCTGGGGACCGAAGGGCTGTGGGTTTGATTCCTGGTCAAGGGCACATCCCTGAGTTGCAGGTTCCATCCCCGGCCCTGGTCCAATCGATGTGTCTCTCTCCCTTCCACTCTATCTAAAAATCAACGGAAAATATCCTCGGGCGAGGATTAGCAACACCACCTCTGCGCAGCTGTGTTCAAGCGGAACACTCGGCTGAGTGACAGGTGTATTCCTGAATGACACAGAGCCCACGAGAGGTGGCAGCATGACGAGGCGGCACACAGCGGACCCCGTGTCAGAGCCCACCGTGCGGTTCTGTCCATGTGGGCGCCGGGTGGCTCGCCGTCCATGGTCTTCACACTTGTCCAACCCCTTTGACAGGAAGCCAGGGGGACAGAGGAGACAAAGGCTCGGCTGGCGTGGGTCTGGACGGGCCCGACGGAGACCAGGGCCTCCAAGGTAGGAGCCGTCGTCATGAACCACTTTTGCTTCTAGCACCTTTCCCAAACCCTTACCTGCAGGCAGTGCTGGGTGGGTGGTGTGTCTCCGTCGGACAAAGGCACCAGCCTCCTGGCCAAGCCTGCGTGGAGGCAGGTCAGCGGCGGCCTGACAGCCCCTGGACGTGTGGGTGGTCAGCCAGCTACAGGCCGCCGTTCTCCAAGTAGACTCGTTCAATCCCCTTTAACCAACCGTCTCGTACCCATTTCAGTCCAGTCCTAACAGAACTTTCTCTTAATTGACCCACAATTATCCTGAATATTTAACATTTTCCCCCTGAATGTTCATATTTTAACGTCAAATGTAAGAACTGTCCCCAGCAAAACCAACCACAGCTCCCCACCCCAGCCTTCTGTGGGGCTCTTCGGGGTCACTTACATCCTGGGAATCCATGTGGGGCAGGGCCTCCCCCGTAACACCCCCAGCCTCCTCTCCTGGCCCTTGAGGCCATGCTCCAGGCTCCTCCCCTGCTGATGCGCCTCCACCTGCAGCCCCCCCCCAGCAGGCGCCCACCCACGTGGGGAGTCCTTGTTGGCTCCCCTGCCCATCCCCCCAGGGCGTCCCCACCACTCCCTCCCTCCCATGAGACCGATTCACTCCTCGAGTCTCAGCCGCCACACTCGGGACAAGACCCAGACCCTGTGCCGCCTGTCCGGCCCCCACCCCGGGGCCCTGCCCTGCAGCCTCTGGGCCTGGGCTCTCCTCCCTTGGCCTCCCCCCGGGCTGGGAAACCAGCCAGTGAGACAGAGGGTGGTGGCCTGCGGGACGGAGGGGAAGCCCCTGCTCTGGGCCTCACTGCAGCTACACTTACCTTCCTTGTCTGTCTCGAGGACCCCAAGGCGTGCCTGGCGTTGGCAAAGACGGCCAAGACGGGGCCCACGGCGAGCCCGGGCTGCCTGGAGACCCTGGCCTTCCTGGTGCCGTTGGCGCTCAGGGCACCCCGGGCATCTGTGACACCTCGGCCTGCCAAGGAGCTGTGATGGGCGGGGGCGGGGAAAAGTCGGGTCCTCGGAGCTCCTAAACCAGCCTAGGAAGTGCGAGTGGTGCTGACGGAGGCGTGGGCTCTGGGGGGACCCCAGGGGCCGGCAGCGTCCATTACCAGAGGGGAAGACGCGCCCCGCTGGAGGTCCGCCGAGGCCTTGCGGGCCTGCCCCCCGCATCCTCAGTGGCGGTGCCTGGACACCTGGTCCCCAAAGCACCCTCCGCCAGCCAGCGGGAAAGTCCTGTCTCCTGTCTGCTGCGGCCTGTCGGCTGTGACACCGACCCTCGGACACGGGCCTGGCGGCACTGCTGGGAGGGACATGGCGTGCACACAGGAAGTTTGTACAAGCCCACGAGAGAACATCCAACAAGCTGTTTACATGGCACTTGTATAAAGACTAAGGTGTAATCCCAATAAAATGATCAATTAAATCTTCAGCTTCGTGACTGGCTGCAATGTAACAAAAATAAAGGATTCGTGTACAGGGCCCTCCATACCAAGGTCTAGTCGGACCCCCTGCTGTGTAAACTTCCAACTGTCTCCGACCAACAGTATTTATTGAAGGTGATCTGTATTGCACTAACCCATCGGTATTACCTGTTGTAATAAATAAAGCCACTCGTGTGAAAAACTCAGTTCCAAACAATACAGTTTATTACACAAAAAGTAATGACTCTCAGTGTGAAGTGAGGCCACCGTGACAACAGTCTCATTGTGGGTGAAGGGCTCTAACGGATGTCTCTGGAAATTTCTAGCAAAAGGTCTGACGAGGACCACATTCTGCAATGCGGTCGACGCGGCTGAAGTCATTGCAAGGGGAGGCGATAAACAAGCGAAATAAATTTCCAAACTACTTCTAGTGAAGAACATTGTGACTTTTCCAATTGCTAAGGGGCATATTTAAATGTAAATATAATAAGTAAAGAGCAGTGTGTCTTGTAAGACTAAAGAAATTGCAGAGGATGTTAATTTTTTGAGTTATCATGTTAAGAAAACATGATGGAATCAGACAGATAATTGAAAGATTACTAATTGTCACGGTGTCTTCATCCCCAATGGTCTAAGAGGACATTAATGGACAAATATTTTGTTTTATATTTTGTTCTAGATAAATATTTTTACAAAATGTGCTTTCAAAGTCCCCACTGGAGTCCCAGCTTGAGTCGTGCCCGAGAGCTGGCGGCCGGGCGCAGGGCTCCGGGCTGCGGACAGGCCGACGGGCCGGGGGGCCGCTCGCTTCCCAGGGGTCAGTGTCCAGTCCCGTCACTTGATCTCCACGGCAGGGCTGTTCTGTAGACTTTCCTGCGTGGGACACGTCACCAGGGAGTCCGGTCTGGTCAGCTTTAGCCTCCTGCCAGTTTTTCCGCAAAACACGCTCTCAAATTCCTAAAGCCCAGAAAAGACCGTTAGTGCACCAACCAGACAGGAGACCGCCTCCTCCAGCACAGAGGTCGAGAGCAAGAGCTGGGCTGCTGAGAGACAGCCAGGCCGGGTGCCACCCACAAACCTACACACCTCTCGTAAGGGTGTGTGATAGAAACGGATTCAAACATTTTCCTGACCACTGACGCATATTTAGTTTTCCAACAGCTTCTCGAAATCCCAGCCAGACTGTTTGCCGTTTACATTAAAAAGCAGACACATTTGTCCTTTTATTGTGGTCAAATACAGAGAGCACGACCGCCACAATTTCCAGAAGTCCCCGTCACTCCAAACTGACACTCGTCCCGTTGACACCCACTCCCAGGCCCAGCCCCCCAGCTACTGTCTCTGCGCCTGACTCCAGGGACCGCCTGTAAGTGAACCGCAGTCCGTCCTGTGGTTGCCTTGTCGCTTATCACGACGCCCCCAGGTCTGCCTGTGGCCGCAGTGGTCAGGACTCCCCTCTTCGTGCTGTGTGGACAAAGCACCCAGTGTTTGTCCGTCCACCTTCTGCCTGTGGCGAGTGATGCTGTCGTGAACCCTCACAGGGACCCATCTGGACTCCTGTTTCCAGCCTTCGGGGCCGATGCCCGGAAGCGGACCAGCTGGGTCTGATGTGGTTCCACGTTAACCTTCGGAGGGACCACCAGACTGTCCCGCGTGGCTGCACCGAGTCCCAGCCCGACCAGCACTCCCAAGGGCTCCGGCTTCTCCGCATCCTCGCCAGCTCGTTTGTTTCCGCAGCCACAGCTCACGGGAGAGGCGGGCTCCTCGAAGGTGCGTCTCTGATGGGCAGGGACGCTGAGGGTCGTTCCACGTGTTCACTGGCCGTTCTGCGACCTCTCTGGAGAAGTCTCTTCAGGTCCTTCGAATCAGGTTGGTCTCTCGTTGCTGCGGCAGCGGGGCCTCGGTCCACGTGCCCGGGGAGGAGAGTGGCGGCACTGATCCTGGTCGTCGAGGGGTGGGCGCCGCACCGACCACATCCTCAGCGGCATCGCCAAGGCCCTGCCGTTTGCAGCTTCGCTCAGAGCCACACCTGCGTATGAAAGTGCTCTGACTCTCTTCCCAAACTCTGTACGGTTTCAGGGCTTCGGTGCAACTTAAGACGAACCACATTTGATGATCCCTATGTTCTGACACCCACGCCCCAGTATCAAATATCTGCCTATATTTGAGAGGGCAGAATTTATAAATTTACCTTTTATCTATTTTTAATCAATTTCAGAGAGAGAAAGGAATGGGGGGAGGGGCACCGATTTGTTTGTTGTTCCTCTTATTTACGCATTCGTTGGTTGACCACGGATCAAACCCAAAACCCTGGTGCACCGGTATGATGCTCCGGCCAGGGCTGGAATTCACCCTTTAAAAGGACCAAGCAGAGCCCTGAGTGGTCTGACTCAGTGGTGAGTGTTGTCCTGTGCACCAAGAGGTCGCCAGTTCAGTTCCCAGTCAGGGCAGGTACCTGGGTTTCGGGTTTGATCCTCAGGTTGGGGTACTTTCGGGAGGAAGCCCATCATAAAAAAACATATTTAAAAGAAAAAACTAGAAGTCAGAAACAAAACAGCCATTTCTCCGGTGGAAGAAAGTCTGCAGAGAGATTTTCTAGGCCAGCCCCAGGCACCATCTTTATCCCAGTGCTTTGCCAGGAGGGCTGAACTACATACAGCTCCATCGGGACTCTCCGGGTCCCCTGGGGAGTGGGGGTGACTGAGCCAGAGAGACGGGGACCTCCCTACCCCAGCGGAGCTGCAGGTCCGGGGCCACGGCCACTCTACTCTCTCAATGAGCGTGTTTTCAACCAAACATAAGTGGAAAGGCCGAGTTTCAAGGATTTTTCACAATTTATCAGAACACCCTGACACGACTCCTGGCCCAAGCTGATGCTCACACCGGGTTGTAAACATCAGAAGGCCAACGACAAACACTGTGGAAAGAGGTGGTCCCCATTACATGTCAGGAAAGGACACTGGGAAGTGACGAGGAGGAGCCAGTGTTCGTACAGAGACAAAGGGTGAAAGACACAGGCCCTGGCCGTGTGGCTCAGTGGTAGGGCTTTCGGATCGAAGAGTCCTGGGTTCGATTCCTGGCCCGGTAGGGGTCGTGTAAGAGGCAACCAATTGATGTCTTTCTCACTTCGATGTTTCCCTGTCTCTCTCCCACTTCCTCCTTCCCACTGTATCTGGGGGAAAAAAAAATCAATGGCAAAAGTATCCTCAGGGGAAGATTTAGAAAAAGTTAAAAAGAAAGACACAAGAGTCTTCTAACTGACATAACAGCCACAGGTGTACACAGTAGACAGAACGGGGACTCACGGACCCAGCAGAGCTCTGAACTGTGTGCTGCAGACACAAAGAGAACTCGGGAAGGCAAGTCCGACCCCATCGGGAGACGTCACATGGGACAAAAATCACGAGTCACAATCTTGACCTAACACACGTGGCCTCCACCAAACAGAGGGGCATGCTCTTCCCACATGCATGTGAGCTGGGAAGCTGACCCCAGCCCTGGCTGGTCTGCTCAGTGGTTACAGCCTCAGCCCATGGACCAATGAGTCGCGGGTTCGATTCCGGTCAGGGCATATACCTCGGTTGCAGTTCGTCCCTGGCTGTGGTCGGGCTGTGTGGGAGGCAACCAGTCGACGTGGTTCTATCACATCGATGTTTCTCTCTGTCTCTCTCTCCCCCTCCCACTCTACCTGATGATAAATGGGAAAATATCCTCGGGTGAGGAATAAAAAAACAAACAAAAAAAACTGACTTCCTGAGCAGTCGTAATAAGTCTCGATAAACTTTCAAACACAGACCATCTCCATGGCGCGCGTGGCAGCCGACGGAAGAAGCAGAGAGGAGCCCCACAGTGGCGGATGAAAGCCCCTTCCAGGATTTGTGCAGAGGCACAGCGAAGAAATCAGAGATATTTGGGGACGGGAAGCGTCACACCCCAAGCTGGGGGCGTCTCCACAGGGCATGGGGACAGCAACCTGCTTCGGACCCGCTGACGGGACAGGAAGGCCGGCAGCTAGAGACACCAGGAACTAAACTTAGAAGAAAGAAGGGGAAGGTTTAAAAATAATGAACCTAAAAGCAAATTACGATAGAAAACACACTCTTACTGACTCCCCTGTTCCCAGTCTGAGAGGCCAGAAGCAACCGGGCGCCGGTCCTGAGACCCAGGCGGAGCCAGGCCAGCACTCGGGACCAGGGACCAAGGAGCGTGGGGGTGACGAGAGAACAAGGGAGGAACGAACTCATCAGGACAAAGCTGCAGAGTGCCCGCCGAGGGGGTCTCCCCACATCGGGCCCACCCACCAAGCCAGGTGACACCCTCTGCCCCTGCAGGTGGGGTCTTACCGGAGGGGTGAGGGGAGGGTCATGTGCACCCACTGAACACGGGGGTACGGGTGGCCCCTGTGCACCTACAGTGAGATCCCCGGCCGCTTAGCTCCTGGGCTGGACAAACAGGGGTGCCAGCACAGAAGGAGGGAGGGGAGGCACCCCAAGAGGAGCAGGAACACCAGGGAGAGTGGTGCCCTGGGGGCTGGAGAGGAGGTCAAGGTCAGGTCAGCAGTCACCTTGGACCCATCACTGGCTAAACAAGGGCCAGGCAGTCCTGGGCTGTTGGAGACGGGACAGCGATGCCTCAAGCAGGGCGGCTGGGTGGGGGGGGGCAGGGGCCGTTCTGCAGGACAAGCGGCAGCACCTTCGCACCTGAAGACCAGGCAGCTGCTGGAGGGAGGGGCATCTGACAGCCGTCCATCCCTGACTTCAGGTGGCACCAGAGAGGACACAGTGGAGGGGCAGGGACAAACAACAGCCTGGGGACCTCAGTGCCCCTGGACTGGATCCTGAGTGGGAACACCCCCGGGACAACAGGCAAAGTGTGAATGTTGCCCCTGAACAACCAGTGACTGTCGGTGCTGAGTGCCCTGCCTGTGACCGCTGCGCCCCAGCTGAACACACAGCGTCAGGTGCGATGCTCAAGAGCTCAGCGGCACAGACGCTGCGCAGGACGGAGCAAGTGGGCACACCCGGGAGGACACAGCAGGGGCAGCGTCCGGGAGAGGGCACCAGGGCCAGCTCCACCGCCCGCCATGCTTCTCCCTGTCCACCCAGCGGCTCCAGCCAGGACCCCGAACGGCCCCTGATCTCCAGCACAGCCTCTGGCTCCCACCTCAGTGCCCAGCAGCCTCGGGGAGTGGCTCTGCGGCCCCCTGACCAGTGCTCCCCTTCACTCTGCCCAACCCCTCCTTCCAAGTCCAGGCTCCTCACACAGCAAAGTGCCCATCAGACCGCGCCACCTGGCCCGACCCTTCCAGGCTCCGGTCACCAAGCCTCAGACACCTGCTGCGGCAGGGCCCACACGGCAGCGTCCCCTCCTCAAGACACTCGGGACAGCCACCCACAGGCCAGGGGGTCTCCGTCTTACTCCAAGTGTGACTGAGCAGAAGCGTGGTCAGAGCAGGAGAGGTCTGTGGATACAACGTGCACTAAAATGACAGGAAATCATGGACTCTCATGCTTCGCATTCTGAGAACAAACATCCATGAAGGAAGAGAAGAAGGAAGAAAGAAGGGGAAGGTTGAAAAATAATGAACCTAAAAGCAAATTACGATAGAAAACACACTCTTACTGACTCCCCTGTTCCCAGTCTGAGAGGCCAGAAGCAACCAGGAGCCGGTCCTGAGACCCACGCGGAGCCAGCATTTATTCGGCTGTTACTTCCGAACCCCAAACTGCCAGCTGACTCGATTCAGCCCATTCTCGACGGGCCCTACGACCCAAGGCGAAAACAACCCGCAAGTTCAGGCGATCGGATCAGAGACATCAGGGCACAGCAGCTGCAGAACAGCATGGCCACGGGTCACTGACCCACTTCACCTTAGTGTGCGTATCAGACGAGGTTTTGTTGTAACGCCCGCATTGCACTTGAATGAATTCTATCAATAATTTTCTAACACGTACAGAGTCAAACATTAAATCACTTAAAAACTGTAAAAGCTTTATTTTGTCCGTGTGACCCAGCAGCCTGCATCTGCAAACAGTGGTCAAGAGCAGCTGCGCACAGCCAACCAGAAACGGCCCCGCTAGAGGACCGACAGAGTCAGACGTGCAGTTCCGAGGACAGAGAAAGCCAAGAAGGCGAGGAAGCAGGAGCTCCCGGGACAGACAAGGGGAGAGCGACTCAGCCGGCGCCGAGCCTCACCCGAGGACATGTTTCTAGCCTCACCTGAGAACACTTTTTTGCATTTTTATCTCCAGACAGGGCGGGAGGGAGAAAGAGGGGGGGGGGAGAGAGAGAGAGTCATCAATGTGAGAGACACATCGAGTGGTTGCCACCCACACGACCCAACCAGGGCCGGGGACAAACTGCAACCGAGGTACATGCCCTTAGCGGGAACTGAACCTGGGACTCTCTGGTCTGTGGGCCAAGGCTCTAACCGCTGAGCCAAACCGGCCAGGGCTGAAGATATGTTTTCATTGACTTTTTTTTTTAGCGAGACGAAGAAGGAGAGAGAGAGAACAACTGGCTGCCTCTGGTACGTGCCCCAACAGAGATCAAACCTGCAACCTTTTGGTGCAAGGGACGACGCTCCATCCACTGAGCTACCCGGCCAGGGCAAGAGGTTCCACATTTCTCGTGCCAACCTCAGCTCAGCTCTCCCATCAGACTCCTGCTGCAGCCCCACAACAGCTTGGGCGGGAGCTTGGGCTCACTTCACTGAAGCCTCATCACCAGCCACCCTGACCACCAGCTCTGCAGCTGGCCCCTGAGCAGAGGCCCCCGAGCAGAGCCCCCCAAGCTGAGGCCCCTGAGCAGAGGCCCCCGAGCAGAGCCTCCCAAGCTGAGGCCCCTGAGCAGAGGGCCCCGAGCAGAGCCCCCCGAGCTGAGGCCCCTGAGCAGAGGGCCCCTGAGCAGAGGGCCCCTGAGCAGAGGCCCCCGAGCAGAGCCCCCAGAGCTGAGGCCCCTGAGCAGAGCCCTCCAAGTAGAGCCCCCCGAGCTGAGGCTCCAGCGGAGCACAGAAGACACAGCTGCCACCTCCATCTGTCCTCTGAACTGAGCACGGGTGGACAAGAGCCACACAAGCACTTGGTCCCGCAGGAGCCAAGCTCACACCTCACTGGGAGCCCCAGGCGGTCGAGACCTCTGCCTTCCGAGGGCACCGAAGTCCAGACCACTTTATCTCTCTGTTACCGGTCCTTCTCACATCAGCCCTCCCGGTTTCCTGAGGGAGAACCCCCGCCTTCCTGCCTCTGGCAGCCCCGCCCTGCCCCGCCCCGCCGGTACAGCAGGCGCCCAGTGCACTGGCTGGTGCCATGAGTCCCTTCCATCCGCCAGGCTGGCGCGGCCTTGGCTGGAGCCAGCACCCACTCACATCGCCAGAGCAGACTATTCACGCGGACTCCTTGTGACAGCAGATTCCGGGGAAAAGGACACGAGAACAGAGAAGCTGGCCCGACACTCACCTTCTTCAGGGCGTCTCCGTGGCGCTCCTGGATGTACTTCAGGAAGGCGGTGGTCCACTGCAGGGTCGTGGCCTTGTCCGTCTCAGCGTTGCAGAACGGGACCAAGAGATTCAGCTCGTCACAGCAGATGCGGATTCTGCGCCTAGACAAACCCGAGTGACACATGGAGAACCCGAAGGCACACGGGGCAGAGAGCGTGTGTCACCCAAGGGGCAGAGCCCAGGGCCTGGTGCCGAGGTGGGCAGAGCCCTCCGTCCACCCAGGACCCAGTGGCCACCACTGCCCTTGGCCAGGCTGCTTCCATAAAGGCTGCCCTGCCTTGGGTAGGGTGCCCCCCAGGCAGCCCCATGTTTACTTCTCAGGGGCCAGGTTCAAGTGTGGGACCCAGGACGGAGCCAACCCCTGAAGCTGAAGCCAAGTGTCCCTGGTGTTTCTGGGCAGGTCATTCTCACTCAGGTTAGTAACCTGCCCTCCGCCTGCCAGGACAGGACCCCAGCTTTGCTTCTCCAAGGGGCCTGCTTCACAAGGCCCAGACACCAGCCTGTTAACATCTGGGAACCTGGGCTTCTTAGAGCACATCTAAGTCACAGCGGGGGCCACGATCAGATCACGTGTGACTTGTGCGCACACGAGCCGAGCTGTGCAGAACTGAGCACCGCATACAAAGGCCTCGTTCCTGTCTCCTGGGCGCAGGGCTTCCGCGGACCTGGGAAACGCACGGCGCTTAGGCGGTGGCACCGCACACCCGCTCTGTCCCAGGCCACCGTGTGGGAGGCTGAGTCCTAGCACAGAAGAAACTCGAGGAAGATGGGCAGGGCGGCAAGTGGTTAAGCTAGGCGATGGGGGAGCCAGAAGGGGCTTTACTGTGAGCATGTGAGGTTTCCACACGGCAGGGGGTCAGTGAAGGTCAGTGAACAAATGTCCACAGAAAGAATGACAGAATGACGAAAAACCTTTGTCACCAGTGAGCTCAGTGAGCTGTGTGCCCCCCACTGCGTGGTACCGAGCTGGCTTCACTCTCTCTCGAGGTACCTGCCTCAGCTCAACCCCGGGCTTCAGAGCTGAGCGCCCGTCTTAGTCCGGGCTCTGTCCTTCCGGAGCCTGCAACAGACACTGGCTCACGTTCTCAGTAAACAACCGGGCGAGGAAACATCATGTACAAACCCAGCTGCAGCAGAGAAACACTACCACCCTCGAGTCCGCACAGAACAGTGCAGACAAAATGACTTAAATAAAAGGGGTTTGAAGATAAGAGTGGAAGGAAGGGAGGGAAGGAGAGAGAAACATCGATTTGAGAGAGTAGGGGACTGAACCTGCAACCTAGGTATTGCTCTTGACCGGAATCGAACCTGAGACCCGTGGGTGATCGGGCCAAGTGGCCAGGGCTTAAATAACAGGTTTAACTTCCTCCTTCCCCAACATTCTTAGAAGACGCAGGACAAACTGGTGACAGCGGCGGCAGGGGAGCTGGTCAGCAGGCAGACCCACCCTTCAGGAGGGAAAGTCTGCCCAGGCTGGCCCTGCTGGCACCTGGGAACTTAGATTTCGGGGGGTGGGTGTCCCGCCGCTGTTGGTTGAGAGGGGCTCCCTGTGCCTAAGCGATTTGTACAGTGTGGCTCGCGTGGAACAGGAGCTTTCCTTCTGGCCTGCGGTCTGGCGGGGCGGGGACACCACAGGAGGCCCCGAGTCTGCCAGCAGTACTTCACGAGTGAGTCCCGGAGCTAGCTCGAGGCTTCGGAGTGAAATGCTCCTGGCCCTTGGGAGCCCCGGCTGGTCCCCTGCCTTCTCCCCTCGAGCCTTTGCAAAGTTTTCCATGTCTTTTCTCCGTGATAAATCAAAGCCATGAGCCTCCTAATCGATCAGGAGGCTCTGGGGGTTGGAGACCCTGATGCACCCAGCAAAGAGAGGTCCACATTCACTTGCGGCACTTTGCCCCCCTCTGGGCTCATACACGTTCCTCTTGGTTACACAGGTGCCCATGGCCACTACGTGTGTCTAAGGTAAGTGTCCTCAGACGCCCCGCACCGCCCATTACCTTCTGTCCCTCTCCATGCGGTTGTGCCTCTCCCTGCGCTGTGACCTTCCACCCGGGGCGCTCTGGGCCTGCTCCCCGAGGTGGGACTGCGATGACTCTGCAGGCTGCCAGGAGCCCTGGGCAGCGGGGGCCCCTTCGCCTGTGTTCTGAATCTCTCCGAGGGCTCTCCGCTCCACACTCGTGTCCAACTGACGGATCCTGCTCCGATTCCTCTTATTTATGGCTTGTTTGCACAGCGCTTCTTCTTTGCAAAAGAAAAAAAAAAGGATACTTTAACTTTTAATCCTCCTGAACTTACCTCCATTAACGCTGAACACACTTCTGGCGTCTCCAATCTAAGACACCAACACTAAGGTGCAAGGTGCAGAGACCTGCAGGCCCGCGCGAGCAGCCAGCCGAGCTCCCAGGTCCAAGCACCGAATCGGGCACACGTCTACAACTACACTGCAACACGCCGTATCACCACGGCCTTGACTGAGCCCTCCTTGTTAGTCAGCATCGTTAACTGTCCTCTCTGAAGAGGAAAATGAAGAAGTTATTTGATTTTTCTCATATTCAGAGTGAGTAAAAAGCTGTAATCATTCTAATTGACAACCTGCAATTCTGACACAAGCACAGACGCTGAGTGGCTTAGGATCCACACCCTCACCTACAAGTGCTTATCCCCACGGGAGGACCCGCCACATCGCAGCCACAGGAGCACGCCACGTTCCCAGCAGACAGTACCCCAAAGCCACACAAGCCACATTCAAGAATCATGCAGCACACTGCTGAATGCTAACGACTTTTCGAGGGGGTGGAGGGAATTCACAGGCATTGGTGACACTTTATTCCTTAAGCTGAATGGTCAGTCCAGGGACTATCTGAATGTTAACCTTCATACCTGACAAATGTTAACATACACTTTTACAGGAAATGTCCTAAAAACAAGGAAAAGCTGAATCGTTGCCATGAGAGAAAGCAGCAGCCCTCCAGCCGTCCTGCCCGTCCGCTCTCGGAAAGCTTAGTGTAAGCGTGTTAGTTGGTGGGTAACCTGAGGGACCATTTGTTCCAGGGAGAACGGGATCGAGAGCTCGTCGAGGTGAGCAGGGTTTGCTCTCAGCAGGGTCTTTGTTTCTGAAACTTTCCGAATCGCCTCAGAACCCCTGGCTGCCCACTCAGGCCTCTGCCCGTCAGCACACTGTCTCCCAGAGCTTCTAGCAGATTCCAGCCCCTGCCTTACTCACGAGGTACAAAATAAGGGAGAAAAACCCCAAAACCTATGTGCTTTGGTGATGTAAAGGTAACTGAAAGTTTATGTAAGTCCATCATTTGCGTTAGGGTGTTTACTACTAAGAAAAGGCAGCCCCAAACTCAGTGTCTCCAGACCCAGCCAAGGATGATGTTTGTGATTGAGGTGAATACTCAAAGTGAGGTGACGGGGGTGGGGGGGCCTGAGAGACAGACACTTCCGAGACCCTTCATGTTCACAAATCACCTCCCCCTCCCCACCGCACAAGGCCCAAGGACAGGATGGCAAAGGTGGGGGAGAAGTACCTGCTCCCTTCCACCTGGTGGCTTACCTCCCACTTTAATCCAAACCTGCTCGGGCAAAGCTTTGTTTCTACCACCTAAAGTCTGCTTCGTGGATTCAATTTCTTGTTGATAACAGAAAGAAAAGGCTCTGGGCAACCCGATATCCTGATGTTTGGCAGCCTCCAGTATAGCACAGGAGTTACTAGAACTCTGGAAAAGATGAAGCAACGGGACCTGCTCAGTGGTCTACTTCTCTTGCCTGCACAAATTACATGCAGAAGAGAAGGGACGTCAGAGCTATTCATACGCAACACTAAGAGCTTCAGTGCACAGAGGGCTTTTAAAAACTCCCACACTGTGCAGATGCTCTGGACTTTACGTTTTTAAATTTGTCTTATTTTTGGAGAGAGAGAGAAACACCCATCGGCCACCTCCCGCACACGCCGACCGGGGACCCACTGCCACCTGGCCACATGCCGACCAGGAATTGAACCCGCCACCTTTCGGTGTGCAGGGCAATGCTCCAACCAACCCAGACACAAAGGCTCTCCATTTTAAGAGGTTAATACGCTCAAAGGAAGAAAAATGCCCCTGGGACCTCGGTAAGGCGCTTCCCTCGAGCCCCTGTCCGCACCTGCGCCTGGGACAGGTTGGCGCCTCCCGCAGAGGAGCAGGCGTTGGAGGTAAACAGGGGGTAGGTGAGCTGCAGAGTAGTGGCCGCGGCGGCCGTCTTATTTTTCACTAACGTCGTGCATTTGTTCTGTTGCTGGTGAAGAGGAACGTTCATTAACTCGGATGGATGTCGAATCAGGGTCACCAAACTGCCGAGACAAAAGAAAGCCCAGGAACACTGAAGAGGCGGCCGGGCGGCTCCCCGAGGCGCCGCCCCCGGTTCCCGTGCACTCTGCCTGTCCCGGAGAGGGGCTCCAACGTGCCGGGAGGATCGCCCCCAGCACGGACATCTCTAAAGCAAGGGCCGCAGGTGTCGCGCTCCCACCTGCTTCCTCGGGGGGAGAGGGGCTGCCGGATGCCTCGCTCCCGTCACGCCCTTGAGGGCCGCCCCTCCCGAGAGCCACCCTCCGGCATCACGACTGTGCAGCCGGCGGGGACACGACAGGGTGGGGCGGAGGCCGCGCCGCGGGGGTCCCCCAGGCCGCCGGCCGCCCGCTGCCGGGGTCGCTGCGTCCACCCTGCACGCCGCCCCGCCCGCGCCCGGCCCCGCCCGGCCCGCCGCCCGGCACCCACTTGTTGAGCGCCACGCCGGGCTCGGGGGGCTCGGCGCCGCGCGGGGCGGGCGGCGGCTCGGCGGGGATGCTGTTGAAGCGGTCCTCCAGGCGGACGCGCACCGCCGACTTGGCCCGCGCCTCGGACGCGCCCTCGGCGGCCGCCGCGTTCTCCTTGCCGGCGGCGTCGGGCGCCTTGGGCCGCGCCGCGCCCGGGCCCGGGGCGTCGGCGCCCGGCGTCTTCTCGGCGGCGGCGGCGGCGGCGGGGGGCGCGCCCGCCTCGCTCAGCAGCATCATGCGCAGCTCCTGGAAGTCGATGTGGCCCAGGCACGGGTTGGCGCCCGCGAAGCCGCCGTCGGCCAGCGCGGGCGGGCACAGCAGCGGGTACACGGGCGCCGCGCCGCCGCCCGCCGCCGCCGCGCCCCCCGCCGCCGCCGCGCCGCCCGCCGCCAGGAAGGCCGAGTTGAGGCGCGTCTCGAGCTCGCCCTCGGCCGCCGCCTCCATGTGCGAGTAGAGGATGTGCTGCAGCTGCGTGTACTCGACCTCCGTCATCTCCACCAGGCTCAGGTCGGTGGTCGTGAAGCTCAGCCCCGCCTCGCCCAGCGCCGCGTCCGCGCCCTCGGGGCCCGCCGGCCCGCCCGCCTGCGCCTGCGGCGGCTCCCGCGGCCCGGGGCCCGACATGCCGGCGCCAACGGCGGGGGGCGCGCGGCGGGCGGGCCGGCGACCGACGCGCTCAGGCGGACAGCCCGCCGGAAACCGCCGGCCCAGCGCGCCTGCGCGGCCCCGCCCCCAACGGCAGCCCCTCCCCCTGGCGCGCCCCCGGCCGCGGGCCCCGCCCTCCAACCGCCCGCCGCCCCGCCCCTCGCCCGCGGCGGCTGGCCCGGGCTGCGCGCGCACGCGGGGTGGGGCCGGAGTCCGCCCCCGGCGAAGATCAGCCCCGAGCAGGGTCCGCAGGCCCGGGTTGCGCGCGCACGCGGGGTGGGGCCGGAGTCCGCTCCCGGCGAAGATCAGCCCCGAGCCGGGTCCGCAGGCCCGGGCTGCGCGCGCACGCGGGGGTGGGGCCAGAGTCTGTCCTGGGCCAGGGTCCGCAGGCCGGAAGTCACCCGAGCCGGGCGCGTAGCCGGGCACACGCCACCCCATTCCCGGAGCCACGGGGTGCCGAGCGGTTTCCCCTCCTCAGCTTGCGGGACGATCACGACGTCTGCGTGCGCCCCGCAGCGGACAGGTGGACCGGTGCCCCAAGCACAGGTGTGACCAGCCGGCCGTGTACCCGGAATTTGCCAGCGGGGACTCATGCACCCCGCGAATACTGCCCAGGGAACGGTGAACAGCTCTACTGAGAAAATGCACGGGCCTGGCTTCTGAGCCCGCAACGCGCGGCCCCCTGGGTCGGCTCAGCCCCCCTCGCCACCCCACCCGGACGACGACTCATCTCTCTGTCCCTGAGGGTTTGTCTGTTCCCGCATCGCATACGGATGAATCACCTCGCACAGCCTCCTGCCCTTGAACAGTTACTCTTCAGGCTCCGCTGTACCCGCACCCGTCTCTCACCTGTGCCCCTCTCACCTGTGCCCGCCTCTCACCTGTGCCCGCCTCTCACCTGTGCCCGTCTCTCACCTGTGCCCGTCTCACACCTGTGCCCCTCTCACCTGTGCCCGGCTCTCACCTGTGCCCGTCTCTCACCTGTGCCCGTCTCTCACCTGTGCCCGTCTCTCACCTGTGCCCCTCTCACCTGTGCCCCTCTCACCTGTGCCCGTCTCTCACCTGTGCCCGTCTCTCACCTGTGCCCGTCTCTCACCTGTGCCCCGTCTCTCACCTGTGCCCCGTCTCTCACCTGTGCCCGTCTCTCACCTGTGCCCCTCTCACCTGTGCCCCTCTCACCTGTGCCCGTCTCTCACCTGTGCCCGTCTCTCACCTGTGCCCGTCTCTCACCTGTGCCCCGTCTCTCACCTGTGCCCGTCTCTCACCTGTGCCCCTCTCACCTGTGCCCGTCTCTCACCTGTGCCCGTCTCTCACCTGTGCCCCTCTCACCTGTGCCCGTCTCTCACCTGTGCCCGTCTCTCACCTGTGCCCGTCTCTCACCTGTGCCCCTCTCACCTGTGCCCCTCTCACCTGTGCCCGTCTCTCACCTGTGCCCGTCTCTCACCTGTGCCCCTCTCACCTGTGCCCCGCCTCTCACCTGTGCCCGTCTCTCACCTCTGCCCGTCTCACACCTGTGCCCCTCTCACCTGTGCCCGTCTCTCACCTGTGCCCGTCTCTCACCTGTGCCCCTCTCACCTGTGCCCGTCTCTCACCTGTGCCCGTCTCTCACCTGTGCCCCTCTCACCTGTGCCCCTCTCACCTGTGCCCGTCTCTGACCTGTGCCCCTCTCACCTGTGCCCCTCTCACCGGGGTGCCGTCCTCTGCAGAGGAGCAGCGGGCTGCCGCTCAGGGTTCTGCCACAGCCGACACGCGTGTGCAGGCTCCTTTCCTTTCCTGTCTCTCTCTTTGCACAAATACAGGCCCCTTCTATGTCTGTGACTTTGTGACTTGGTTTTGGTTTTTACTCCACGCTCCCTTTGTCCCCAGTAAGGACGTGGTAGACCTCTCGATAAAATAGATCACAACACTGATTAACCGTTCAGAAAAAAAAACTAAACTCAGAACACTTTTTCACACCCAACACATACATTTCAGTTGGTTGAAATGCCTAATTTAAAGAGCCAGGTTATAAAACCACTAAAGGTATACAGCGGCACGGATGAAGTCTTTGAGAAGACGAAGCATGGCACTAACGTGGACCACGATGTACACAGAACGGCCCCGGGATCTTGTTGAAATGCATATTCTAAGCCACCCTCCTAAGGAGCCCTCCCCTCTCCCCAGATGCTGACCAGGACACCACTTAGAATAGAAAGATCAGGCTACAGTGACGTTGACCTTGTTCAAAGAGACAGTGAAATCAAGATGGAATCCAGTGTGACTTCTCTGAAGCAAAGACCCTGAGCACCCGATGTCTTGTTTCTTGTTCCGGGCAGAGCCCTCACAGATGGCAGATTTGAGCGCTCCTTTAGACACGAGAAGAGAGGATGGTCTGGCGTTACTGGGCTGCTCTATCAATGACGCGTGAAGAGAATACCCAACAGGCTTCCCAGCCTCCAAACTCTGCTCTGGGCGGTTTCTGCAGGAACCCTCCCTGAGGAGGGAAGCGAGCCCAGGTGAGCGGGTAGGGGGGTGACAGGCACCCCACCATGCAGCTCCTTTGCACAAATAGCAGGCCCGGGCCCCAGGTGTGCAAGAAAAAGAAGGTCAGCAGCTTCCATGGACCAAGGCCAAATGGGAGAGGGACCCTGAGGGAAGGAAGCGGCTTTCTGGGACAAGGGTGGACTGCCCAGGTCCATTACCCGTGGGAGGACCCGCGGCACAGCCAAGTCACTTTGGGGGCTCTGGACCACCCAGTTAACACCCTCATGCGAACTGCACGTGGTGAAGGTGAGTGCTGAATGTGAAACTGTCCCTCAGATACACGCTTTCTGTGGAAACAGCATGATCCCAGATCAGGACCAGACACAGATATTACAGGAAACTACGGAGCCACAGCCCCCAGGAACAAGTCTGCAAACTTTTTTTTTCTTTATGATTTTAGAGAGCGAAGAAGGGAGAGAGAGAGAGAGAAACATCGATGAGAGAGAACATCGATTGGCCGCCTCCTGCATGCCCCACACTGGGTACCCAGCCCAAAACCTGGGTGTGTGCCCTGACTGGGAATTGAACCAGCGACCTCGGTGCATGGGTTGATGCTCAACCACTGGGCCACACCAGCCAGGCTAAGCTTTTTTTTTTAAATCCTCACCTGAGGATATGTTTTTATTGATTTTTTTAGAGAGAGAGGAAAGGAGAGAGAAATGCTGATGTGAGAGAGAAACATTCATTGGCTGCCTCCTGCATATACCCCAATGGGGATCGAACCCACAACCTAGGAATGTGCCCTGATGGGAATTGAACCCACAACCTTTTGGTGTATGGGATGACACTCCAATCAACTGAGTCACCCCACCAGGGCAAGCATGCAAAACTTTCAACAAAATCTTAGCCAACGACACCCAACAAGATGAACAAGAAGGAATGACACGGCGTGTCTGTGTGGCGTTTGTAATGCAAGCTTTGTGTACAATTCAGAGCCAACCAATGAAAATTACAGACCGAAAGAATAGACATACAATTACCTCAAAAACGAAAAAAAAAAAAACCCCAAACTGTGTGTGATCAATCCAGCCTCCATTCCTGATGGAAACCAAGGGCACACGGGAAATACGACCACACCTCATGTCATACCCAGTGGTGAAGATCAAACACCTCCCCCACACACAGTATATGCGCTAAGTTAGCAACCACTATACGGTGCCAGCTGCCCATGGCCACGCGTCTGCTCAGCATTGTACAGCGGGTCCACTCAGTGCAGAAAAGCAGAGAGACAGGCTTGGAGGTGGAAGGGATGTGCACACCTGTGCCCATCTGTGCAGGGAATCCATGGGATCTATCAAAACCTAGTGCACGAGTTTAGCAAGGTTGCAGAATACGACGACAACATGCAGGTGCCCATTGTCTTCCTGCGTAGCAGCAAAGCACGTGTACACTGGAATTAAAACACAGCAGCAAGCCCTGGCCGGTGTGGCTCAGCGGTTAGAGCATTGGCCTGCAGTCCAGAGAGACCCGGGTTCGGTTCCCGCTAAGGGCACGTACCTCGGTTGCAGTTTGTCCCCGGCCCTGGTTGGGTCGTGCGGGAGGCAGCCCACTTGATATGTCCCTTTCATGTCAATGTTTCTTTCTCTCTCTCCCTCTCTCTTTCTCCCACTCTGTCTGAACAAAAAAATGGAGAAATGTCCTCAGGTGAGGATAAAAACAACAAAAACAAAAACCACAACACCAAGCCCAGCCGGTGTGGCTCAGTGGGTTGAGTGGCGTCCCATGGACTGAGAGGTCCTGGTTCGATTCCCAGCCAGGGCATATGCCTGGGTTGCGGGCTCGATCCCCAGAGGAGGGGCTCCTCTGGGTAAATTCCCCGGAGCACAGTTGCTGGATCCGATGAATCAGTTCGGTGCTGTGAGAAACCACCACCCTGTCTTCCGTGGAGGCTGCACCGCCTGCATCCCCCCAGCAGCGGCCCAGTTCCTGCGGCTCTGCGGTTAGGGTTAGGGTACGGGTTAGGGTTAGGGTTATTTTTCCATTCATCTTCAGATACAGCAGGAGGGAGATAAGGAGAGAGAGAGAGAAAAACATCGATATGAGAGAGACACATGGACTGGTTGCCTCCCACATGACCCCGACCAGGGCCGGGACCGAACCACAACCCAGGCACATGCCCTCGACTGGAATCGAACCCGCGACTCTTTGGTTCGTGAGCTCACACTCTAACCGCTGAGCCACACCGGCCAGGGCCAAAACCTGTGCTTTCTGTTCCTGCAAATTTAGGGTCTAGAAGGCTCAGTCCGAGGGGTGGAAGGCTTCCTCCAGGGCAAAGATGGGGGGCTGTGCGGGCTTGGGGACACGGCCTGCCCGTCATGGGGGCGGTGCTGCCCCGTCCCAGGAGGAGCAGGTCTGGGTGCAGGGAACCAGCTGGCTCTGAGCTCCCCACATCCTGAGATTGCAGTCCGCGAAGAATCTCAATGGTGTCATTTAGGCAGCGGGAAGGAACTTTTGGGTCTCCCACCGAGCTGGGGCCCGGGACAGCCTAGGGAGCGTGGACTGGGCGGGGCCAAGGGCCGTGGTGAACACCGGCAACGGGCACCTGAGCAGCTGCAGAAATAAGAGCTGCCATAGCTGTCAAGTGTCGCTTCCGACTTTGCCACGTGCATGCTCGTGTGTTTAGGAGCCACTGGCTTTGGCTTCCCCTTCCTCTCGTCCGGTCACCTAACATCAGACGTGTCAAGAGCCGTTGGCCTTATGCCCGAGTCTGCAGGACGGCAGCTCGTGGAGGTCGGCGCCTCCCGGGGTCTGGCCACGTGGTGATGGGTGGCGTGTCACGTGAGGTGGGACCGTGGCTTTGCTACTGTCTTTGGAAATTTTGGCTCAGGTGGTGCGGGGGCCAGGTTGTTGGGGCTGGGCGGCCGTGTGACAGCTGGGGCACAGGTGTCAGAATCCTGCCTGTTCAGGCGAAGGGATCTCCAAGGCCTTGATGCCTGGGATCTGAGGTCAGCAGAGGAGCACAGATGCTCAGCTGGTTACACCCTGAGGGCAGGGTGGGTCACACCCAGGGTGACTCACCTGGGCGGGGCAAGACCCGCTCAGCTGTGGGCCAGGGGTGCATCTGGGGTCCCGGGGAGCCAGTGCCTCGGGAAGGACGCTGCACCTTAGAGGTCAGAGGTGGAGTTCTGACCTTGCCTAGGATGTTGCCTGAAGGGATCCTGAGGCTGGTGGCGTCAGCAGGTGTGCGTCTGAGGCCCACCCCTCTGCACCTGCTTCCTCCTGTGCCTGGACCACCGCACCCTTCTCTTGTTTCGTTGGAGAGTATTTGGGTGGTTACCCGTTTGGGCGATTTTGAATAAATCGTGATAAAATATTTGCTTACAGACTTGTGAACGTCTTTGTCTAGTTTCTCAACCATTAAAAAGTTCTCCCCCCTCGGGAGCCTATTTCAAGGATTCTCCTTACCTGCCCTGGCCTGTGACATCAGGGTCACAGAGGCTCCGTGTACCGAAGTCCCGGGCCAGTCGGAGGCGCGGCCTGGGCGGTCGCGAGGATGTGGCTGGGGCTGCCCGGGGTCACACATGGGGACTGCTGGGCTGTGTGGCATTTCACCTGACAAGTTCCTGATGGGACAGGCAGCTGCCCTGCAGGTGTGGGACAGAGTCCACCCCCATCCTCACCACCACTGGTGACGGTCGGTTTTCTGACCCGCAGTGCAGGGCACCGGGGTGGCCCCCACTGCGTCCTGAGTCCTGACTTTGCGAACACCCCTTGGTTCCTTCCCTTGCAGCAGGGGAGCCGTGGGACAGCCTGGCCAGCCCGCTCAGACGTGGCTGGAGCCTGCGGCCGTCTGTTCGCTGGCTCAGGCCCTTCGAGAGCTGTGAGCTGTGCCCCTGCCCGGGCACGCCTGTCCCAGTGCTGGTGTGGGGGAGGCGTAGAGGCCCCCGCACCTTCAGCTCTCCGGTGAAACCGCGTCCTTCAGTCCCCCTCACGGGGGCCGAGGTGGCTCCCACACAGGGCCTGACACTAAGTGGGGTCCCACCGGCCGACCCCAGGGCCGTGTCCTCCAGCCGACTCCTCGCTAGTCGGGTTCCCAGAGCCAAGCTCCGCGTGGCCCTCGCACCTGCCTGACACTAAGTGGGGTCCCACCGGGGGACAGCCAGGTGGCAGAGGTGGGAGGCTGTCACAGACCATGACAAGACGGGCTTCGGGCTGAGTGCAGGAGACTGACCGTCGGGGTCCGGCGGCTGGGGTTTCCGTGTTCCCGGGAACGTGCCCCGACAGCCATCTGGAGCGCCCGGCTGCAGAATCTGGCCTTACCACTTGGCAGAACCTCAGCTACCAGGGGTTCCCCGAACCAGCAGCCTGCCCTCATGGGCCTTGGTGGGCTGTCGGGCACCTTCCTGGGACAGTGGTGTGGGTGGTGGGGAAGCCCCACACTGGGTTCCTCTTGTGGAACCCGCAACACTGCACTGGGGTTCAGGCCCCCACGGGTTTGCTGAGCACTCAGCTGGGAAGCAAGATGGGCAGTGGTCCTACCTGAGGAACGTTTCCTCAGCGTCCCCGTTCACGGGCGTGGACCCCACGCTCGTGGAGAAGCTAAACTCTGGCACCAGAGTCATCAGATGAAGGCCAACTACATGTAGCTGCCCCCTAACGAGGTCCCAGGGCCTGGCTTACAGCTGTCCTGTGCACAGGCTCAGCGGCTGCTCCCTCGGCCTGAGGACTGTCCGTCACGGCTCGGCCACCACCACCACCGCTCTACCCGAGGCGCCCCCCCGGGCCATCCACTGTGCCTCCCCACGGGCTCCCAGTCAGCTGCCCTTTAAACCACCAGTCAGCCCGGCCAGTGTGGCTCAGCGGTTAGAGCGTCGGCCCGTGGATCAGAGAGTCCCGGGTTCGGTTCCTGCTAAGGGCGCGTGCCTCGGTTGCAGTTCGTCCCCCGCCCCGGTTGGGGTCCTGTGGGTGGCGACCACTTGATGTGTCTCTCACATCGATGTTTCTCTCTCTTCCTCCTCCTCTCCCTCCTGCTCTATCTGAAGATAAATGAAAAAATGTCCTCGGGTGAAGATAAAAAATAAACAAACCACCAGTCGGTGGCCGAGCCTTGGGGTGAAGTACCACCAGGTTGCCAGCCGCGTGCTGCCAATCCCGGGCCTGCCACGCGCCCGGCTGCCCCCGGCCCCATCGCCTGGCCTCTAACCACGCACCTGTCCGTTCCCAGCGGCCTCAGGCTTCAGCTGACGGTCCGTTCACCCAACACGGGGTCTGATGTGGGCGGCGGCGGCGGCAGCAAGTCCCCTGAAGCCGGTGCGCCTGGCCACCAGCCAGTCAGGAAATGGGCTCGCCCCCGAGGCCGGGAGGCCTCTCTGGGCCAAAGGGCACCCCTGCCCGTGCCAACTGGCAAGGGGGTGGCCGAGGCGTCCCCGTCCAGACCCCACTTCCCAACGTGGAGAGGATGCAATCACACAGGCAGAAAACCTCTGTAGATGTTTATTCTACTTCCAGTAACAAAACCTACCAAGCTCCATGTTTGAATGGACAGTGATATAATACTTTGAAATATAAAATACAATTTACAGAAAATTCTATCAAGTAAACCTAAAGAAACACACTTGATTTTTACACTTGTGTATTTAAATTAGAAAAATTTGTCTTATATGTAAAAAACCTTCACATAACATGTGACGGTGGAAGCCGATTTACCACGGCGGGCCGCCCTGGACACTGGGCCCGCGCAGACCCTGCAGGACGGCTCGGCGGGCGGCCTGTCCGAGGGAGCCCGCACCGCGCACGCTGAACCTCACTCCACAGACCGGAGGAGACGCTCTCATCTTACATTTGCAAAAGTAAGTTTATGAAAATATAAAAAAATTATCAAAGTGTATTTGTACAGTCAAATAAATTAGCAGGTTCTTTCTCACACGTCAGAGCTCGGCGCGCGCAGAAGCAGCGCCTGGTGCCGGGGTGGACGTCGCCAGCGCGCGGCTCTGGGCCTAAGAGCGTGTCTCCCAACACAGCCTGACACGACACTGTCTGTTTCCGAAGACAAACTGTGAACCGTGCCCGACACGATGGCTCAGATGAGCGCACCCCCCAGGAACGGAGGTGCCATTCAGCAGTGTCCCTGATTACCGACATCGAAGACCCCCTTGCGGTGCACTTCATTGTTCATTTCCTTACTTTTAGGCTGATAAAACTGAAACCTTTTTCAATAAATTGTTATTTAAAATTCAACAATTTGTACTCTGACAGATGTTGCTTTTCATCATGTTTTCAAAAAAATGTATAATGTGACATATAAAAAACTGAGCAAAACTAGTGTTGTTTCGTGGTTGAAGTTTGTAATTCAAATTTCTTTAGGAAAAAAGGGACACACATGAGTAAGTTCTGTGTTTCTCCACATCCTGGGGAGGAGCCCACGAGGACACAGCCCTCGACACCCCCGGAGCCAGGGACGCGTGGGCGCCGGGAGCCTGGAGCAGCTGAGGCGCCAGCCGGGGTGCGCGTGGCCCTCGGGTGCACAGGCCCCTGGAGCTCACCAGTCAGGCTGCTGGAAAGACAACTTTATAATCTGAGGAAGCAATATGCTTTTGTGGACACTTTCCCATCTCAGTAATTCTAAATGGAAAATATTAAAGAGTTATTTTTTAAAAAAAGCATCAGAATTGTAAAGATGTGAAATTTTGTAAGAAACCATTATACACAAAATTACAGTAATTTTTGAAGTCCAGAATACTCTATTCTTCACCTAAGTTCATAGCTACTTCAAAAACAATTTGTTCAACACATTTTATGAACTTGGCTTTTGAAAGGACGGTGCCGGGCTGAGGCCCACCTAGGTGTGGGCAGGGGCGTCTGCGGCCTCGGCCTTCGGGTCCCGCGTGCTCTCCTTGCTTTTGCTGCGGTCCTTGCGGTCGCGGCCTCGCTCGCGCTCCCGGGTCTTGTCGCGCTCCCGGTCCCTGCTTCGAGACCTGTCCCGGTCCCGCCTCCGGTCCCGGTCCCGGTCCCTGTTCCGGCTCCGCTCCCGGCTCCGGTCCCACTCGTGGTCCCTGTTTGCGCTGCGCTCCCGGCAGGAGTCCTTCTCGCGGTGTCGGTCCCACTCGCGGCCCCGGTCCCAGTCGCGCTCCCGGCTCCAGTTCCTGCCGCGCTCCCGCTCCCAGGGCTTCCCGTGCTCCCGCTCCCGCCGCCGGTCCTCGAAGGCACGGCCCTGCCGGCTCTCAGGCTGCGCCTCGGGCTCCTCCAGCGGCTTCTCTTTGGGCCCGGCCTGGTTTCTGTACTCTGGGCCCTTGGACGGGGCCCACTGGGCCTCTGCCTCAGGGGCTGGGCCCGGAGCTCCAGGGGGCAGGTTGGGCGCGGGGCCGGCCTCATCCCACCGGTCCTTGCGGTGCTGTGGTGGGTGGCTGGGCAGCTCCAGCAGGGGCCTGGGCGCTGGCTTCATCACTTGTGGGGACTGTCCCTGAAAGTGGAACCGGGGAGGGGCGGGCTCACTTTTGTCAGGAAAAGGCACAGACCCCCTTGGTCCACCAAACTGAAGGGGTGCTGGGGCCCTCTGATTTGAAAATCTGGGAGGGGAGTTCACCCTCTGCTCTTCGAATGGTTGAGGCTGCATTCCCCGGGGTCCTGGCATGAAATTGGGTGCTTGGCCTCTGGGTCCATCAAACTGATTGGGATGGGGACCGCGCACGCTTTCAAACTGACTAGGATGTGGCCCTCTTGGGCCCACAAAATGGCCAGGCGGTGGTCCTCTCTGACCCCCAAACTGAGAGGGAGGGCCTCCTCGGGGTCCTTTAAACTGTGCCAGCAGAGGCCTCCGTGGGCCTCCAAACTGGAAAGGGGCTGCACCTCTGTTCCCCACTGGCAGGCCTTGTTCTGGTCCTTCAAACTGGGCAGGAGGCCCAGCCATGTCATTGTAGGGGGCATCCTGGAATTCTCTTTTCTCCCCGTGCGGATCCTTGCGTTCTTCGAACTGGGGGGGCGCTGCTCCTCTGGGCCCACCAGGGTGAGAGGGGGAGGGGCCCCTGCTGTCCCCATAGGGAGGTGGCCCATGCGGCCCTGAGAATAAGGAAGGGATGGGCCCCTTCTGGGCCCCGAATCTGGCTGGCGGAGGCCCTCTGGGCCCGTCGTTGTTAGAAATCATACTCTCTTCTGAAAATGGAGGCACCGGCCCCCGTGGTCCCGGGAAGCTGGGGCCATGAAGTCCCGATGTTCCGAAAGTGCGGGGTGTGGGCTCACGCTGGCCCTGGAACTGGGGGGCCCCTTTCTGTCCAGGTGGGGGGAATGGAGCGGGCCCCTCGCCAGGTCTGCACTGTGGATCTCTGTCTCCTTCAGTTTCAACAGCCAAACGGTCACCTTTCTCAGCAAAGAGGGCATTTCTTGGGGCCTCATAAGGGGAGGAGCCGAAGGAGCTGTCCTGAGATGTACAGGCCTGGCTGGAGAAAGGGTCCCTCCCTGCGGGAGAGCCGAAGCTCTGCCCTTCGCCGGGCACCGGGAAGTTGGGCTGGAAGGCGGTGCTGGGCGGTGTGGGCAGCAGGACCTTTCGGGCAGGCCGGGCGGGGCCGAGGCCACCTGCCCCAGGAGGGCCGCTCTCTGTGGGCGGCGGGCCCTGGCTTTCCGAGGGCTCCCCTGGGGGGCCCTCCTGCTTGGCTGGCAGGGCAGCCTCGTCACTTGCAGCCCAGGACGGAGGGGTGGGCTCCTTTTCCTCCGGGGTGGGTGCAGGCCCCTGAGCAGCAGCAGCCCCACTGGGGGCTTCTCGGGCGGGCGGGGCGCCGGGCGTGCTGCTGGCGGGGGCCTTGGAGCCCTCGCTCTCGCTGCTCTCCGCAGCCAGCCGCCGGGCCTGTCGGGGGTCCCGGCTCTGCCGGGGGTCGGCGCCAGGGCCTGGCCCCTGGCTGGTGGGGGGCACAACTGGCCTGCCGGCAGCCTGCTGGTCTTGCGGGAACAGCGCGGCCTTGGGCAGCGAGGCCTTGGGCGGCGGCGACATGAGCGCGTCGGACACGGAGAAGTGCGCCATGGAGACCCCGACGGCGGCCCGCTGCTGTCTGAGGGCTTCCTCCTGCTGCTCCACTTGCCGCCTCTGCTCCTCGATCTGCCTGTTGAGCTCCTCGATCATCTGCTGCTGCTCGGCCAGGGAGGGGGCAGAGGCGCTGAGCCCGGCCGGCCTCTCCGCGGAGGCCTCCCCGGCAGCTGCGCACATCCTGCGGGGCAGGTCTTCGATGGTCACTGCGGCTTCTTCCAAGATCGTCTCATCCTCTGGGTCATAGGCCACCTCCTCCCTCTCGGTGGTCTCCGAGGCCACGTCCTGCCGGCTCCCTCGGCCCCCGGGCTGTGTCTCGAAGGCCCGGTCTGGCCCGTACTCCTCCTCAGGGTCATAGGGCCTGTCGTCTTCCTCGTCCTCGAGAGCCTTCTCTTTGGAGAGCTGACCAAACTGCTGAACGATGGGGTCCAGCAGAGGCGCTGCCGGCAGCCCGCCCTCAGCCTTGGCCTCGGTGTCGGGGCGGGAGGTGCAGGCAGGGCCCCCGGGCTCCGCGGCTGGGGGGTCAAGCGCCTTCTTCTTTCCGAACAGAGTCTGCAAGATGTGTTCCAGGGGCGAAGCTGCTTTAGAGGTGGAGGAAGCGGCTGCGGGGGCAGCTGCTGGTGCGCTTGCTGCTGGGACGGGGTGGGCGGCTCCTGGCTTGAGGGCCGCCAGGGATCTCAGTGCTGCAGATGGAGCTGGAGGTTCTGGCAGAGGAGGCGGGGGTGGGGGGGACCCTGGTGGCGTGGTGCTGCCGGCAGTGTCCCCAGAGCTGAGCTGATACTTGGGGGGTTTCTTCTCAGACTGTGAGGCCGGAGGCGTCTTGGGGTGCGCCGGCACGTCGGCTTCCTCTGGCGTCTGCAGCCGGGCCCGCTTCTCCTCCGTCTTGTCCAGTTCCCCAGCACTCGAAGGGCGCTTGACTTTTTGACAGATCACTAACCCAAGGATGATGTTTGGACGTGGTGACTCCAGACCTGAAAAACACAGTGATTGTGCAAATGTCAGAATCTAAGTCCCGCCCTGTCCTCCAGAGTGAACTTTATTAAGGGTGGTAGTGGGGAATGTTTTCATAGGCAGAAGGCAGAAATTCTGTGCAAGACACAATCGCGTGTTTGAAGAACTTACTGCAAAAGGCAGAGAACACACGGGTGAACTGTCTGTCGGGGAGCAATTTCCCCCTGGGTCCCAAACCCCAAACCAATGGCCCAACTCACAAGTAAATGCACCCTAACTGCCAGAGTTTATGGTACAGATGTACATCAGCACCGCTGTGCAGAGGCCGCCCTAGCTGGCTGAGCGCAGGGAACTCGGCGCGAGTGAGCGAGGGTGGCTGCTGGACAAACCCGGGTTCTTGCTGCACACCAGGAAGGCACCAGCCCTTCTGCCCTTTAACTTAGAAGCTGCAATGCCTCCGCGAAGCTATATATGCGTACTCATATTAAACGTTCGATTGCGGACCGATGATCAATAAAGTCACAGTGGTCAATGCAGCCCACTCCACGAGGTAAGTTCATGGGTGGCTGGTGTGAAAATTAGAATGAGTGGGGAAAACGCCGACTGAAGTGGCTAAAATAAACATCTGTTGAGGTCTGGAGAGGCCTCCCTAAGCACGAACTGATCAAGTGCCGTCCATGCTCAGTCTGTGCGCACAGGGCACGGTGCTGGAGAGAAAGCCGGGCGCAGCAGACGGGCGCGAGGAACCCCGCCGAGCTCAGGCACGGCAGTCCTGTCTTCGCTTCTGGAGAAAGGGTTATTCTCAGTGTTCCAGACTGGCACACGCTATTTCAGGAATGCTGACATTTTAGTAGTGAACCCCCCACCCTAGTCAGAATAAATCCAGACTACCCAAAGAAAAACAAACAAAAAGCCCCAAGTCACAAAGCAGTAACTTAGGGAGAAACGCCACACAGAAAGTTCCATGACGGCAGAAGATATTAAAATTAATCAAAATGTATAAATTCAGTTTATAGATAACTTAACACTACTGTGGTATATAGACATTCGTGTTGCATGTTTCCTTACTAAAAGATAAATTAAGCGTGGTTTTCCCCATTGTGTGATTTCAGATGATCACAGACCACATCATTCCGCAGTCCGCCCGTCGCCCTGCATCCCGACAGAGATGGGCTGCGCACAGCAGGGTGCTGGGGCCTCTGGCCCAAGGAGCAGGCTGCTGCCCGCCCTCCCAGTCCTAAGGTCCCCCTGCTTCTCGGGCTGCCCTTCGAGCTGAGGAGCCCACTGGAGGCCTGCACCCTAGCACCTTGGTGAGAGAGGGTGCCCAGAACACCCTCTCCCTGGCCCTGAGCACAGCCGCGTGTCAGGGAAAGGACGGGCTGGGCAGGGGGAACGGCGGGACGGCCGGGCAGACCAGAGCAGATGTGCAGGTAATCTAGCACGTCTGTTTCATAATGGACATGAATTAAGGTTAGTTTAATGTAAACGGTGCTTCTCTTGCTATGGTAGCTGTACACCGAGTGTCTCCCAGCTTGCTCAGACCCAGCTTGGGGTGTGGTCACTGCTACATGGCTATTTTGGCCTATGGACCAGCCTGTCAACAATGGACCCAGAGCTTGTCAAGCAGGTTCGTGTGGGGGGGCACTCATGGAACCCACTAGGGGATGCCCTACACATCTTGTCACTAAAGAACTGGACACCAGGAGCCAAGGACTACACTCGGCCCTGTGGGTGGGGGTGTGGGCAAGGGCTGGAGCCCATGTGGAGACGTGCCCTCAGCAGTCCAGAGCCCAGAGGGGCTCTGCCACCTCACTGGGCACAGCTCAGCATCTAAGGGGCAAACAGCAGGCTGGGGGCACCTGTGAAGCTCCAGGCAAATCAGCCGTGTGGTGGGAAGTCACTGTGCTCCACTCAGAAAGACGTGGTGTCCAGCCCTGGGCTATGTGCACACTGACTAAAACATCTAAGGGCTTAATATGCTCCCTAAAGAAACTAGTAAGCCAGCCCCAGCACAGCCCTTTCGATGTGAACCTGTTGTCACATTCAAAGCAAGGCTATGGCTATATGACTAATATTCACATTTGGAGACAGGAAGCTGCCTGGAGACGGGCATCTGGGCAGCGCAGGCTTTACACTGCGCCCAGCGCTCAGCGCCCTCACCTGCAAGCCTCTAGCAGCTCCAGAGCGGGGTGTTTTGAATCTCTCCACTCATCTTCCTCAAGATGTTAAACTAGGCTCTCAAAATGTGTGCCCTCATTCTGAAGCCATCAAATCCTGTTCACGTTCTAGCTGCACGAATGTTTGAAATATAACTAGCACCTTGGAAAGAACTTACATTCATGGAACAAAAAACAAAGCTCACTGACCTACACTGGGCCTGAGGGGCAACAGTGACTGAGACAGCAGCTGTCTGTAAGGGGAGGTAGCAGCAGGCCAGCCTCCCCCGAGCACCCCATTGCTGGGGCATCACCCGGGAAAGAATGGGTGCTGAGAAGGTGCAGAGCAGGGGCCACAATGGCTGCAGTGAGGGACTGAGGGCTCCAGCCCAGGGCACAGGGACCTGTCTCCAAGTTTGCCGAATGCCCTGCTCCACCCCCATTTCCACTGTTAGAAGCAGGATGCTCTCACCCACCCCTTTTGAGGGCTGTCCAGGCTTAAATTGGGGATGGGGGAGGGAGCTAGCTAACCAGGCCTCCTGCACTTCCAGACAAGGAGTCCTGGGCCTCATGGACCCCTCTGCAGGGCCCAAGCAAATGCTGACCTTCTGGCTGCACTGCGTGGATGGAAATAAGCCTGTTTAGCCGCATGGATCTGGCCCTAAGTGGTCACAGGAGGGGCAACGTCAACTTGGTGTCACCATTAAACCACACACTCACACAGAGGAGACCGAGCCCAGGGACAAGGACATCTGGAGAGGTGGGTGCACCAGACTCTCTGAGACCGGACCAAGCCGGAATCCGTGTCCAGGAGCCAGCACAGGGCTCCGGGGAGAAGCGGCTGGGAAGGAAGCAGCCCTGGGACCCGCACCTGCAACCTGACGCATCGTGCGTGAAGCTTAGTTTTCGTGACTGACTCCTTAACCCCCAAACTACCAAAATATTTTCACCCTGAATATGCCCAGCACGTACCCTCCACCCAGGAGTGAACATGGAGACTTGTTATGGCCTGAGTGTCCCCCCACCACTTCCCCACTCACTGGACAGAAAGGTGTGGGAGTCACAAGGTGACAGTCCTGAGTGTGACTGGACAGAAGAAACTAGGCACACGGGTGGCGAGGCACCAGCCCACCCTCCGCACGCACGCACGCGCACACACACGCACACACGCAAAATTCATACGTGTGTACAAAGCCGCTGGGCTCAGCAGCCTCAGGCCAGCGTGGTCCATCTCCATCCAGGTGGCCTGAGCAGCATGGGCCGCAGGCCCTGGGCTGGGCTGCGTGACGGGCACGTCGTGCCAAGTGGGGGCTGCACCCTCCCTCAGTGCGCCCATAAGAGGTGCAGACCGGCTACACGGTTCAGATTCAACAAACAATGACCGGTTTCCATGAAATATTTTTATTGAAGTTGAAGGAGAAACAAGTACATTCAATCCCACATTTAGGTCGGCCCAGTGCACAGCTAGACACACAGAGAAACGCTTACCTGATGTCGAGATCACAGAATGTCCCAGCTGAGTTAGAAAGACACTGTGGATGGGACATGAGGACAGGCCCTCTCTGCGGGCCCTGGGAAGGAGTCGGCCCTCTGCCTATGCCTCAGAAACCCCAGGACATGAGGACAGGCCCTCTCTGCGGGCCCTGGGAAGGAGTCGGCCCTCTGCCTACGCCTCAGAAACCCCAGGCTCCGCGACAGCTATTGCGGATGAAGAACCTGAGCCCTGCCTGAGACTTGAGAGGGGTAGGAGTCCCAGCCTAGGTCCAGTCCTGCTGGGGCCGCACAGGGAACCCTACAAGACAAGTGTCCTCTCTGATTGGTCTTCCTTCCACGAATAAGCCCCAGACTAACTGACCCTTGTCCCAGGGGTGAAGCCATCAGGACTAGCGGCCAAGCTGAGCTAGCGTCCGCAGTGGACGATGCTCAGCGGATCAGAGGGACCCAGGCTGTCCAGCTGTCCTCTGAAACTGCTGCCGCGTATGAAAACGCCACGGTGTCACACGAGACCACCTGGCATTTCTGTGGACAAGTCAAAAGCAGGCAAGGACGAAGGTATCCTGTACCCTGAGCAGGCTGTGTTCTGAACTCTCACGGGCTGGGCAGGCGACTGAGGGGCTGTGGAAACAGCTCCCGTGTCTGCTGTGAGCCCTGGCCACACAGGGTGGCCAGCACGGGCTCGCGGGTCAGAACTTGGTGTCATCGCCATCGGTGTCTTCAGTTGCTTCTCAAGCGTGGACAGCAAGAGCTCGAGGACCCGTCGTCAATGACCTGCACCCTCTGTGGTGTGTGCGCGTTGTCCCCCGACCCTCTGTGATGACCTCTCCGCCCACATGCGGGCGGGCACACCGAGGCCTGTGCTTCGGCCCTTCAGAGAGCCAAAGGGAGAGTGCGAGGTCACGGGACAGCCATCCTGGCTTGCACTTACTGGGTGTGACCTCACTGTGACAACACAGGGCTGCAATGGGGTCAAGGGTGCTCCCATCAGGCCACGGGGCCTGTGCCTGCCGGGTGGCACATGATCACACCTGCTGGCTGCTCAGCTGAGGGACATCACCACCACCCCGAGCTGGGCCTGTGTCTCCTCTGCTGTGCAGAGGCTGGCTCGGTGCGGACAGGAACCAGTGAGACGAAGAAAACACCCCCACCCAGCCTTCCAACCCCAGGTGCGCGCGCGCGCGCATGCACACACACACACACACACACACACACCATGAACCCAGGACACACGACATGCTGCATCCGGAGCACACCAAGTCATGCTATAAACACGTGAAACAGGCAGGCAGAGATCCCGCCTGGGGTCCAGGTTTTAGGTGGTGTCAAGTGTATAAAAGATACATGAAAACGTACAGCTCAGACAATGATGTCAGAATAAAAAGTAACGCTCTAAACTGAACAGGCTTCCATTTAGAAGCCCTTAAAAAATCTTTAAGAGCTTATGGGCAAAAAACGATGGGTCAGTTTCAACACCCTGTCACTGTGTGTTCTTCACTGTGATGGGAGCCAGTGGCCAGAGCCCAGAAGTGTGCGGTCTGCTCGACAAGTGCAGCGTCTGGCTACCGCCCCATGCGACTTGCTCCTCTCCCTCTGCCAGCCGGGTGCCCCCAGGCCGCTCTGACGAGTCTGCGGGTGGGCAGTGCACCTGAAGCAGGCAGACAGCGCAGAGGATGCTACTGTTCAAAGGGACTGAGGCCCGGGACTTGCTAACCCACATCTCTGTTAACAGAAAGGACCCACTGTCCCTGTCACCCTAGCACAGACTCACGGGACCCCACACAGTATCATGCCCGTGACTGACCGGAGGCTCCTCACGTTCTGAGGAGTCAGCTTCTCCCTCACCTTCAGGGACACAGGACGCTTCCCTGCACGGTCACCAAGGGAGCGCCCCAGCTGCTTCAGAGCTGCTCACCAGGAGGCTCCACCTATGTCCTTTCTGCCACCACCAGGTGGCTTATCTTTACCCCAGGGAGTATGAGAGGACCCGAGGCACCGGCTCCTAGAGCATCGGGCACTAAGGCAGCTCTGAGGTGCTGCGCAGCGACTACCTCACCAGGGCGCTGCACGAGAGTCCACTGTGGGCGGCTCCGATCAGGCACCGGGACATCTGGTGCTAAGCGTGTGCTCAGCCAGGACTGGGCGTGCCGTGGGTGGGGGAGCCCTGGCCCACCGCGTGCAGGTGCAGGAGGGCAGCGTGCGGCCACAGTGGGAGCACCGCCAGGACTTGGCGATGGGGCCATGGGCCTGGAGCTGCCAGAGGCTCGGCAGCACCGCAATGGTCAGGGGTTCAGCCCCCGCCTCCTGAACAAAGCCCTTCAAAGAGCATTCGCCATATGTTAGTCTCATCATCACCTTGGCACTTCACAGCCAAGGAGATGCGTCCATTTGGCATCTTTCACCAGCTTCTTCTCAGGGTACAAAGAGCTGCACCCTCACAGACCATGTCCCCTTGGAATCACCCTTAACCTCTTGATAAATCTGAACTTCTTAAAAGTTAACTTGTGAGTAACCGTTTAAAAGCAGCACTTTATAAGGAGAAAACACAAAGGGTTTTGCAAAAAAAAAAAGACCTCGTTAAAATCTGAGTAGTAGACTGAAAGTGACTACTTCCAATGTCTTCCTCCTTCGCTGCCATCCCTGCATGTCCTGGACACAGCCTGACCGAGGACAGCACCTGAGTGCACCTGCTCACCTCTGCGCTGCGTGTCCACAGAGAGCCCGTGCGGCAGGAGCGGCCAGTGCTGGGAAGTGCTGCCTCTCCCAGCTCCCGTCTAGGCTGCTGGGCACCTGAACCGTCCACTGACCAAGGCTGTGCAAGGCTCGTAGGACGCTGTGGGCTTTTCCCTGCCAGTGGTAAGGGTACTTCTAGTACTGCCCCCAAGAGCCTAGAGCTGTGCCCTCTAGCTAAACGTTGCTTCGCATGACTTAGTTCCTGTTCCTAGACACTCTGTGCAGGGAGGAGGCGTGACCACTTGGGACAGCTCAGCAGGACTCGATGTGGGGGAAGGGGACATGTGTGAGCAGAGGTGCCTGACCACCACCCAGACAGCCAGTGCTCACCTGGTCCCTCGAAGGGCAGGAGCTTGGATGGAACAGGGTCCTCGGCACTCAGGGGGATCAGGTAGAGGTCCTTGATGTGCCTGCTGTTATTAGCGACAACGCCAAAGCGGCCGCGGCTGCTAAAATAGGAGTAGAGAGAGATATAGGCCACTTCCTCCTCCTCCGTGGCGGGATGGAACCGGATCAGACACAGCTCCTACAACACAAACAAACAGGACAGGCATTGGCCCGCGGTGCTTGGGAACTGCATCGGCCTGAAGGACGGACGAGCAGTGGCTGCAGCCCGCTGCCCCGCTGTCCGTGATGGAGTGGCACAAGAGCACAGGCTGCAGGGCCAGGCTTCTGGACTCAGCTCCCACCCGTGGAGCTTCGTACCCACGAGATCCACGTGCAGAGTCACTGTCCACGGCAGAAGCTGCCTCTGCAACAGGAGGGCTGAGCTAGGCCCGAGGTCTGACCCGTGAACCAAGAACAACTTGGCCCCAGAGCAGCCCACGCACATCTGCAGCTGCCCAGGGCTCAGCAAGCAAAGACTGCCTGGCCTGCTCCTCCCTCAAAAAGGACAACCGGAGCGGGTGCTCACTGATGAACACGACCTGCACGCATGTCAGGGCCAGTCGGAATCGAAGCCGCGGAAGGCAGCCCTCACATACTCAGGTTTAACCAGCTCCAAAACTAACTGTCCGTGTTCACTTGGAAACGTCTAAGCTATGGGCTGACATTCCCAGGATCGACCCATCAGGGCAGATGTGAGGGCAGAGCTGTGCTCAAACAAGCACCTTCCTTCATGGTGCAGACAGTGAGCAGTACCTTGGACACGGAAGACTTGAGTTTGCCGACATAATCCCACACAGTCCTCGGTGCGATCCGTCCACCAATGTGAATCGTGTCGGGCAGGTCCTAGACAGAATGCACTTTGCGTGAGTGACAGGTGGGACCAGGACTCAGAGAATGACGCAGTCATTTCAGGGCACCAGCTCACAAATCAGGGAACCAAAGTCGCAAAGAACACAGCAATAACTGCACAAAATGCTGCGGGATTACAACAGCACCAAACCCACGTGATTAGGGGTGGGGGGCCTTGTGCCAAACACACTGTCATCTCTGTGGACAGAGTCCTGACTCAGCGTCTCCAGAAACGCCGACTGCCCTGCAAGCGGCCCCCCGTGAGTGTCCTGTCCTGTACGCCCGCACACTCTGGGCAAAGGCCCGAGTGGAACAGAGGGAGGAGGGAGACGGACCTCAGCTTCTTCATGGAAGGTGAGAGGCCCGTTTCTCATGGGCATTTCTGTCCACACTGCCCAGCCTGTGAACGTCCGTCACACTCACCAGTCCCCGCTGCACCTTCAGAGGTGCTCACGTGTCCACTCGGATGGTGGACTGTCCAACAGGATCCGAACTCCTGTGAGAGGCGTGTTTGCGCACGCGCACACACACACACGCACGCACGCACACACATGTGCACACAGCTCTAACCTCACTGAGATAATCAAAACATCCAGAGACGGGGTAAGCCTTAGTGACAAACTTTGCTACACTCTGCATGTTAATAAATCCTTTCCAAATGGTGCTGACGCGAGAGAGGAAGAGGGCCGTGTCTCCTTCCGGAGGGGACCGGGACTCCGCGGCGCTGTGAACGAAGCGGAGAGAAGTAGTGAGGCTCTGTGCACGAGTGTCCGGGTGCGAAGGGTTACGTATTTACAGAAGGGAAGTGCACTCCGGCAAGTTTTGGCAGCTTACTTTTTCAAATTAACAACTTTAACCATTAAGATATAAACAGATATTCTGGCCAAAGAAAAATAAACTGAATAGATAATCAAACGGCCATAAAGTCAAGTTTCTGTTTTTAAGACTTGTTCTTCTAAAGGGTGTTAGGCACCCCAACTGTGGGACATTTACAATGCTTTACACGTCCCCCCGCCCCCCAAGGGACAGTGTGCTGCTCGGTCCATGCAGAGCTGAGTACTGACTCGCTCTCCCCGCCCACCCAATCGACAAGAAGTTCGCTGTCCGTGGAGACCGCACCTGATGCTCGGGGATGGCGGGACTGACAGCAGGTATCTGGGCTCGGGGGACGAGGACGGCTTGGCCAGAATGGACTTGGGCACCAGCACAGGGGGCGCAGCAGGCTTCGCAGCCTCTTGCTGTGGCTCTGCCAGGCGGGTGCTGTCCGGGAGGGCGGCTGCGGGGGTCAGGGCTGTGCTCACGGTGCTCTGGGCAGTCCTGGGGTCTCGGCCAGACATGGTGACAGTGGTGAGCACCGCGCCCCCACAGGACGCTGGGCAGGAAGGCCCTTCCTGGGCCGAGGGCTCAGGGCGGCCGTCTCCGGGAGCCCCGGGGAAGCACCTCCTCTCCGATGGGGCCTGGGGTGTGCCCCCAGGGTCCGGCTCGGAGGTGCTTTCGGGCAGAGTTTCCGGTGCCACCTCGCCCACAGAGCTGAGAGCTGGCTCAGAGGGAGAGCTGTCAAACTTGGATTTTGACTCTTCTTTCTTAGCAGGAGCCGACACTTTCTGTCTTTTCGGAGCTGGTTCATCTTCTGATGATGAAACCTGACCTGAAGCACAGGAAGAAAGGCCGTGGTGAGAGTCTGATGCCTTCGAGGGCGCAACCTGCTCACGAGCAGATGGCCACTTCTGCAAGGACAAAGCAGCAACGTCCCAAGTTCCCAAAGACCATCCCAGCTGTGTCACTTCTTAAACTTGAGCTGAACACAATGGCCACAGAAGGGTGGTAACTTGAAACAAAAGCCTCCCCACACGCTCACCTGTGCAAACCCTGCAGTTGAGGTCGAAGAGGTGGGCGCGGTGCTGGCTGGTCGTGTCCTTCAGCATGCTGCTGAAGACGTCCAGAGGGGGCGCAGCGCTCTTCTCCGGGACGGCACGGACCGACTCCTGCTCCTGAGAGGGAAGGGGGGGCACCGTGTGGTCACTGCCTCCCAGTCTGGCCTGGGACGGAAACCCCAGCGAACCCTTGAGACAAGGGCCTGTGTGGCCCGGGCACCCGAGCTTACATCGGAGTCCGACACGGGCGGGGAGTCTCCCAGGTCGGGGACGGCCTCCTGCCGGGCGGCGCTCCTCCTGCCCTCCTGCTGCAGCTTTGCTCTGGGCTCCATCGCCTGAGGGGGAGACACAGCCTTACACCCCTTCTGGGAGGGCTCCCCCCAGCGCAGCAGGGCTTCCGAAGAAGCCCGGCCTCCACGGCCATCCCCTGGCACTCACGGGTTTGGCCGGCCTCTCTTTCCACGTGGAAAGCTCCTTAGACACAAGTTCTTCTGGCTTCATTCTCACAAGTTTGGCCAAAGGGATTTCTTCACGCAGAACGCGATGGAAGAGGCCCTGTGAACAAACACCTGTCATTCACTGGCTCAAAGGGTCGAGGAACTGTCTCCAAGAGCTGAGAAGGGCATGGAAGGAAGAGCACCAGGCGAAGCCCCTGCCCAGGCCAGTGGCACAGGCCGAAGCACCGGAGCCAGCGCAGCAGGGGCCTCAATGCGTGCGCCCGTGCAGCTCGCGAGAGCAAACGTGCCACAACAGCGGCACGGGCCGCACAGCTGACCTCGGACCCCGCTTCCCCAGCTGCTGGAGGCCTCAGAGAAAACCAGGTCAACCCCAGAAGGTGGTGTTGGGAACACAGGCGAGAAGAGACCTCTCCTGCGGGGCGCTAACAGGCACGATGGACAGCCAGAGCTCCCCCTCCGACCCTGCTTCTGAGCGCAGGTGAGCTCAAGGGGCTGAGGAAGGACCCCACGAGCCCGGCAGCCAGGCCAGCAGGCAGCCAGCCCGCTCTGAGCTGTGTAACGACACTGCCGTCCCCTGGCTGTGAGAACTGAGCGCCCACCCGGGGTGCACAGCATCTGTCCAAACAGCACACTCCAGGAATCTCTCTGAGGAGACTCGCACAGCCTCGCTCAGCTGATGGGAAATGACAGCAAGGCCACAGAGAGGGCTGAGATGGCCACACGCTGCCGTAGCAAATCTGAACTCTGTTCTGGAGCCGATGAAATGAGCAATCCACAGCAGGCTCAGGAGAGACGAGCTTGGTGAAGCAAGGACAGGCTTCAGGGAGCAGGGAGGCCAGGACTACAGCCGCGCCGAGGAGGGGTGCGCGGACACTCCCCACACCCATGGTCAGTGCCAAGGGAACAGAAGTGCCGGTGGGTGTCCGCCGAGAGGGTGTGAAGGCTTCGAGATGCTGTGTGTGGGCTACCTGTGACCCCAGCTAGCGCCCAGAGCACGCCTGTGCCACAGGAAGGTGGCCCTAGACCATGAGGCACATACCTGGTTCTTGGGGTCCTTGAGGTTGAACATGATGCTGCGGTATTTGCTCTTGTAGCGGTTGTCGGTGACGTGGAACAGGTTGAACATCTCCTTCTCGATGTGGAGAGCCACCTTTCCGACTTCACTCTCTGTCACTACAAGGTCGTCACTGTCGCTGGCTCTACAAGAACAGGAAACCAGGTGAGCCCGGCACTGCGCCTGGTTCTCCAACAGGAGGCCCTCCCCTTGAACAGGTCCTCAAGCAGAGCAGCCTACCTTTTCCACAAGATCTCCTTCAATGAGCGCCTTATATTTTGACGAATCTGTGAATTTGGCTGTGATGGGGCGGTGCTCGGAGTCCCCAGGCGCCCCGGGGCTGGAGAGGCCAAGGGGACAGAGGTCACTATGGGCTTCCTGGTGGCTCCCACCAAGGCAGCAGAGCCTGGCAGCTTTTTGGAAGCAGACGCGGCAGCCCCAGGCACCAGCCCGGCCTGCTTGGCGGCAGGAGCACTGCCCGAGGGGGCAGCCGAGGGCCACGTCCTCTTGGGTATGGTGCCCTTGAAGCCCGAGGGCAACTTCCTGATGACTGGCTTGGCCACGCTGGAGAAAGGAGGGGACTTCTTTGGAAGGATACCCCGCCCTGCAGGCTGTCTGCTGCCCGCAGCAGGGCCTGGAGCAACCACTTTCTTTGGCATCGCGGCCGCGGTGTTTTCCAGTTGTCGGTCCTCCTTCATGGCTGTGAAGGACACACGTTACCATCAAAATGGAGAACCCACTATGGGAGAGCGTAACCGACATCGATACATCAGATAAGGGTTAATTTCCAAAATATACAGAGTGCTCATATAGCTCAACAAAAGGAAAACAAAGAACCCAATTAAAAAATGGGCAGAGGAACTAAATAGACACCTCTCTAAAAAGGACAAATGGCCAATAGACATATGAAGAAATGCTCAACATCACTAATCATCAGAGAGAGGCAAATAAAACAACGAGGTATCACCTCACACCTGTCAGAATGGCCGCCATCAACAAGTCATCAACCAACAAGTGCTGGCGAGGGTGTGGAGAAAAGGGGACTCTAGTGCACTGCTGGTGGGAATGCAGACTGGTGCAGCCACTATGGAAAACAGTATGGTGTTTCCTTAAAAATTTAAAAATTCATCTGCCATTTGACCCAGTGATCCCACTTCTAGGAATATATCCTAAGAAGCCTGAAACACCAATCAGAAAGAATATATGTAGCCCTATGTTCATAGCAGTACTATTTACAATAGTTAAGATCTGGAAACAGCCCTAGTGTCCATCAATAGATGAGTGGATAAAAAAGCTGTGGTACATGTACACAATGGAATACTGTGCAGCTGTAAGAAAGAAAGATCTCTTATCCTTTGAGACAACATGGAGGGACCTGGAGAGCATTATGCTAAGCGAAATAAGCCAAACAGAGAAAGACAAATACCATATGATCTCACTTATCTGTGGAATATAATGAACAAAACAGACCCATAGACACATAGAAAGGAGTATGGTTCAGACTGACAGACCTCAGAAGAGGGGGGCAGGGGTGGGGGTGGATGAGATAGACTAAAGAACGTATATGCATGTATGAGTGACCAATGGACATATAAGATAATACTGTGAAATGGGGAGGGAGGGCGGGATCAGGAGGAGGATGTCTGAGGGGAAAAAGGAGAAACATCTGTAACAAAAATAAATTAGCAAAAATTGCAAAATAAAATCAAATAAAGAATTAAAAAATAAAAAAGGACACACACGTTGGTGAGGCCGGGCACGCAGCCTCCAGCCTGCAGAAGCTGACCAGGCCTTACCGTATGAGGCGATGGTTGAGTGACAGGGTTTTAAAGGTGATGATCAAATTCAAAAATAAAGTGTAATTAAGACTCTGGCAATATTTATGACTGCGAGCACTTTATTTCAGGAAGATATGCCTTACTGTATTATTGCATGAAATCTGTTACTTCAACCAATAAACTCTAATAAAAAGTTTGACTTAAATCATTAGCTAAGCTTGTAAACAGAAGGGCAAATCTCACATCAAAAATAAGTAGAGCCCTGGCTGGTTTGGCTCAGCGGTTAGAGCGTCGGCCTGTGGTCTGGAGAGACCCCGGTTCGGTTCCCGCTAAGGGCACATACTTCGGTTGCAGTTTGTCCCTGGCCCTAGTTGGATCATGTGGGTGGTGACCACTCAATGTGTCCCTTTCTTTCTTTCTTTTTTTTTTTTTTTTTATCCTCATCCGAGGACATTTTTTGTTCTTGTTCAGATAGAGTGAGAGGGAGGGAGAGGAAGAGAGAAACATCAACGTGAAAGGGACACGTCGAGCAGCCGCCACCCGCACGACCCAACCAGGGCCACGGACAAACTGCAACCGAGATACGTGCCCTCAGCGGGAACCGAACCTGGGTCTCTCTGGACCGCAGGCCGACGCTCCAACAGCCAAGCCAAACCGGCCAGGGCTCAATGTGTCCCTTTCATGTTGATGTTTCTCTCTCTCTCCCCCCCTCCCACTCTATCTGAACAAAATATCGAAAAATGTCCTCGGGTGAGGATAAAAAAATATATACAATAAGTAGCGCCCTGGCCAGTTTGGCTCAGCGGTTAGAGCGTCGGCCTGCGGACCAATGAGTCTCGGGTTCGATTCTGGTCAAGGGCATGCACCTCAGTTATGGTTAGTTCCCGGCCCTGATTGGGCCATGCGGGAGGCATCCAGTCGATAAGGCTCTATCATGTCAATGTCCCCCCCACCCAAATCTGATGATAAATAGAAAAGTATTCTCAGGTGAGGAATAATAATAATAATAAAAAAACGTAGATTTAGAAGAGCACTCTTATCATGAATTCGAGTGCAATTTCTTTATAAACATGACTTTGAAAAACCTTTCAGGATAGGTCAGGCAGACACCCTCCCGACCTTGAGGCTTTGGAAGGACTAACAAGAGCCCTTTAGGGCACCTGGCAGGTTTGGCTCAGTGGCTAGAGCGCCAGCCCATGGACCAAAGAGTCTTGTCTCAGGTTAGATTCCTGATCAAGGGCATGTACCTGAGTTGCAGGTTAAAACCTGGGACCTGGTTGGGGTTGTGTGGGAGGCAGCCCATTGTCTGTCTCTCTCCCTTTCCTCCCTCCCTTCCACTCTAAAAATCAATGAAAAAGAAACATCCTCGGGTGAGAATTAACAAAATAAGAGTCCTTTGCGGAAGGGTGTCACCACAGGTGTTCAGCCTTTTTCTGGACAAAAGTCCACATGACACATCAAGAACACAGACGAGCTGGCAGAAGCCAGGGAGGTGGGGAGACGGAGCACTCCTACACTGCTGTCTTGTAGACAAACACCCACCTACAACTGAGACTCACATTCGATTACTGGTTAAGACCATAAATTAGCACTTTTAACTCAAACAACAATTGTTGACAAAAGCTGAAAACATTATCAGAACTTCAACCTGTACAAGTCTTGACACCCGCACTTCTTTAAAAAGAGAGTGCGCTAAAGGACCGGCTGCATGAGCCCCGTCAGACCCCCAGAACTTAAATGAAATCTTAGGTAAATAAGGAAGACAATTCTAAGACAGGTGCTGTGCTTGGCCGCTGGGTCCCAGGGGCGTGTGGCTGACCAGGGCCAGGCTGGCACATTTACAGATCGCCCTTGCTCCACACCCCTCTCAGAGTGGTGGGAACAGGGGGGCCAGTGAAAGAGCCAGGACACTGACCAGGTGACACACAGGGCGGCGCCTCTGGAGGTGTGGGCTTTCCTCAAACTGTCTGTGCAGTGGTGAAGCTCTAAGACCCCCGGACACCCAGATGGGCCTTGAATAGATGCTCCAGCAACCTGTCGATTCACCCAGGGATTAGAAACCAGTCAATCACCAGCCCGCTACGAGGGCTCCTTCTAACTCCCAGTAAACCAGGGGGAGAAAGTCTGAAAGATGGAGAGAGGTTAGACCCTATCTACAGAGGTGGTCCTTCTGGGGTGTTCACAGCTCCAGGGCCCTGTGTGTCCATGGCTATCTTGGCAGAGGGCCAGGGCCAGGGCCACTACACTGGACTACTTCCTTCCTGTAGCAGTAGGTGAGCAGCTCAGCAATGGGCTTTCCTAACGCCTATGGGACCTCAGGTTTTTCCTACTCTGTAGTGTGAATGTAATCACCCAAATTCAGGTTGTGCAGCAGCAGCAGCAGCAGCAGCACCTGGGCCCAAAAAGCTGGGAGTGTTAGAAGTCCTACGTTTCCATCAATTCTGACTCTGAATCCTCCATTTTCTTCTCAAAGCCCCCACGTCCTCTGCCCACCCCTGCCTAAAGTGGCCTGGGCACTGGAACCCCAAGTGTGCAGGGCTCCAGGCCTAAGCTAGACGGCTTCCCCACCTGCCCTGCTTGTCATTACCCATGTCCATCATCACCAAGTCACACCTCTCAGGAGTTCCATTCCTCTGGGAGCTGGACTTCTAAATAAAGCACACAACCGAGTCCGACAGAGGAAGAACTGGACAGCAGGAACAAAGACAAGAGTACTGTTTCTACATGTTACCTCATCAGACTGAGTCCACGCACCTGAGGAGCTACTGTAGGGAACTCACTCGCACCAGCTCGAATGTGGCTAAGGGCTGCAGCACCCAGCCTGCAGGGGTGCAGAGCTCAGGTGCAATAATATAGGGAAACGGGCTGGAGCCGGTGTCCAAGGCACCGACAGGCAGAGGGAGGTGACCGAGCACCCGTCAGGAAGGCAGTTGCTGTCATGGAGGAATGAACTGCTGACTAAAATTAGGACCTGAAACCAGTATAGGCGCTGCCTTTTACAAGCACAGACTTTGTTGAGTATTTTAGTAGGTATACTTTTAAATAACTAACGAGCCGGCCTAAGGTGCTTCCAAAAATCTCTGGAGATGCCTGACTATAACATCCAGGACACCCGTGTGACGGGGCCTTGAACAAATCTCGTTGGACATTCTCACTCCTTCAAGTGACAAATTTATGTTCACTTCCAAAGCATCTGCTCTGGGTCTCCAGATCGGAACTTAAGATCAATACTTCTGGTCTAATTGGTGTTTTTCTTCACTCATTCAGGGAAAACCTAGTGAGATTATTTTCAGGACATTCCCAACATATGATTAAAATGACGTGTTACCCAAGAGTATTATTGACAGTAAACACACAGTCTATTTAGAAAGCAGGGGATGACTCCTTAGCCATCATGCTATTTTATAAAACTAGTTGCTTTTGCCTGAAGTCACCTTCATCCCTCATCTGCCTCCACCGGTATAAATGGGCACAATCAAGCTAGTCGTTGGTAAAATGGCTGAAACCAGTGGACCACCACAGCAAGTTGGCCACGCTTTTCTACTTTGCAGGGACGTGTTTCGAATGTGTTCCGTATGTTGGCACGTGGCCCCTGAGAGCTGGACTCAGGGCCCTCTGAAACGACAGTGACCCCAGCTCAGTGCTGGAATGCTCTGACAGTGAAACACTGTTGTTTTGGGTACCAAAAATCAAATGTGCAAATCTTTTGTCCAAATTCACTTCTAACTACTGTTGTGTAAACCTTTTCAGAAGGGCAGGGAATATAAATTCACTAACGAAAAATAACCCAGACTAGAAAAGCAGAACACAACCCCAGGCCGGTGGCCTCAGGGATGGCAGATGCCCCCATGTGCTGCTCAATGCCCTCTGATCTGCAGGGCATGGCTGGCATCATCAGTAGACTGCAGTGTGGGCAGAGGCG